GGAACTGAAATTTTAAGATAGAGACCTAAGGAAGATGTGCAGTTATTTTCAGTTTAAATTATCAAACTTTCAATACCAAAATCTAATTACTTAGGAGTAATCTGCAGTTGGTGATTAGGCAAAAATAGTTTGGGCAGCGTTAAAGCAAAGCAGGCTGTTTGCAGGTCATTCAGAGAAATATTGTTTTTAACTATTTACTGCAACTTGAATTGGAATCCTAATATGAAGACCATGCCTTTCTATATTTGTAGTTCTTATATTAGAAAAGTGTTGTGGGCAGAAAGCTGATAAATTTGCTATGCAAGCTACTGCTTCTGTTTTCTGTGAGCCTTAAGCAATATTTATAAAATCTTGCTAATGTTTTTATTTCCAGAAGCTGCAGTAGATAGACAGATCACATTTCCTTTATCTCCAGCTCATAATATTGAAGTGGAGAGAAATGGAAAACCAGGACTGGTTGAATTCAATGAAGAAATGCAGTATATGGATGTAGAGGAACCGCAATGTAAGTTTTATTTATCTTGTCATACTTTGTTTAAAATATGAGCTTACTTTTTGTCTTTTTTTAATGATACACTGGAATTTCTCTGCAAAAATTTTTTAACCATTTAAAATAGACTAATTTCTCAGCATTCTTTGGTGTTGGCTGTCTCACTGGTCTGTTTACTGTATGAGTTGAAAGTTTAACACAAACCCACAAAAAAACCCAAACCTACTGGAGAGTTTTGGTGCTTAAAGGCAGATTAATATTTATTTGAATTTAGAAATAAAGTAGATTGATATGGCACCTTTCTAACTTAAACTCTTACCCTGTTCCAGCAGTATTTTACTTGATTTCCTTAGCTAGTTTTAATAGAATTTTTCTCTGCATACCTGGAATTTGTAGAGATTGCTGCTGCAAACCAAGAAAAATAATGAACAGCTAGTAAAGAATTCAGATCTAATCATGTTGACTTTCAGCTACATCACACTTACTGTGCCTGTTTTTATAACCTTTTTTGTTAACCAGAACTCTTCCACAAAATCTGTTAGAGAGACTCTGAAAGGCGTCAGATTGAATCTGAGTGAGGAGAGCTACAGACCGAAAATGGAGAGTTGGAATGAATCAGTTCCAGAATTATGATTCTTTTTCTTGGTCCTTTCAACAGTCTTACTTTACACCGCCTTTTCTTTCATGTGATCAGGCTTATCTGGAGCATGACTTTAAAGGTCCTTTCCAACCCAAACCATTCTATGATCCTATGACTCCAAGAAAGGTGTTGCAAAGGATGAGGGGAGGGATCAAAGGGGTGATAAAAGTGCTGGAAGGAGGTGTTTCATGCTGAGAACAAAGCAGCAGATTGAGTGAATGATAATTTCAGTATACCACAGGAGAAACAAACTAGTCTGTCTTTTTTAAACAGTTCTGTCCTGCTTCAGAAAAGACCCAGTGAGAATTGTGGATCAGTAGATATTGGTTCATAATTTTATCAATTGTATATTTTGTGGCTTTGATAAGCCAGTCAACGTACGTATTATCCATATAGTAAAACTGAAAATGCTTTGAAAACTGTCCTTTAGTTTTACTAATTTCACTGGAAAACGGCTAAAAGTGAATGTCAAATAATTGTTAGTTTTTTCGATGTAGAGTTTATATGTATTTACTGATCAGAGTTTGACATGCTGTATTTTTAACCCATCGAAATTACCAGATTTTTGTGACTTAATCAGGTCCATATTACTCATGTTGTTTAAGGTCTTAGATTGTGTCCATTTCTGGAGGAACACAAGGAAGATATACTTTGTGGTCCAGTATGGCTGGCTACTGGACTTGATCTATCAGGACATGCTGGAATGTTGACATTAACAAGTCCAAAGCTTGTTAAAGGTAAATCAGTTTATTATGCTATTCACACGAAGTATGCGTGACTAAAGTGCATCTCGTACTTCTGTAGTCGGGCTTTGGTTTGTGTTTATTTTCACATTGACAAATTTTGCTGTATAACACAATAGTGAGTTACCTTTTCAAAGTGATGCTCAAATACTGTAATTAATGTAGTTGAGCTCTGATTGTACAGTGTATCTGTGAAGTTGAAATCTGTTTACAACTTGCCGTAGTAAACTATGCAAATTCTTCCCCCCCTCTTTTTTTTTTTTTTTTCACTTTTAGGCATGGCTGGTGGCAAGTACCGCTCATTTTTAATTCACGTTAAAGCAGTGAATGACAGAGGAACAGAAGAAATCTGCAATGGTGGCATTAGACCAGTTGTTAGAATACCACCGCTGAAACCTCAGACTAACAAGGGCCATTCCCTTGCTTCCTTGTTGGCAAAAGTTGCAGCAGGCAAGGTAATGAATAGCCAAGAAAGACATCTGCGTTAAAGTTGTAGAATTGATATGATTTATGTAATCTGAAAATGAAACAGCTGTTAGGAGAATTAAGAACCATTAAAAATTACTTTTTAAAGAATTGACACTGTGTTAACACCTTCAAGAATCAGAGTTCAACATCTGTAAGTTGTTTCTTCTGTGCAAATTTAGTTGAAAAGGTCTGTTCTGCCACTTTCCCATTCTGAGTACTTGGTTTTGAAACTTTCATTTCCGTTAGTGTTTTCAGTAGCTGATATACCTCATCTCTGAAAAAGATTTTTGTGTATGTGTGTGTATTTTACTCTTGGTTGTTGCACTTGCAAGATTGGATGATATGATGTACATCTTGTGGATGTTATTGCAATGGTTAGATGATAATGAATTACAGAACCTTGTTAAATTTGATGTTCTGTATTAAAGCAATTAGTGAATAAAAGTAGTCTATTTTGGTACAGTGCTGAAACTGAGTGAGAGATTTTACTGAACTGTATGCATTTCACTGAACAACGTATACAAATGAAGCATTCACAAACAACATGATTTATGAAATTTTTTTTTCTCCCCTCAAAAAATCAGGAAAAACCATCTAGCAAAATTGAAACCACTAATTCTTCAAGAAAATCAGATAATCTGAGAGGCTGTGACTTGCTTCAGGAAGTCTCTGTAACAATTCGAAGATTTAAAAAAACTTCAATTTCAAAGGAAAGGTTAGTAGGTGCTTTTTAATTCTAAAAATTGTTAGCTTCAGTTACGCTTCTCATAAAATACTTAATTCTGAAAATAGGTCAGGTCAAACCACTGTTTCGAGTTGTCGTTTCATAAACATATTTTTATATGGAAAATCCAGTAAATTGGAAGTTCAAGGGCACTGTGCTGTGCAAGCTGTGGTAGAATAACACCATGCATGAAATTGTGTGTCGAGTGATTTATTTGCCTGACTGGAAAATGTAAATAAGTTTTCTTGGTAACTGAGATACATTATTTGGACATATTTTTTTAAAAGGAAGCACCTTTCCTTTCTATTTCCACATGTTGTCCTGTTTCTTACAGTAGAAAGTATATTATTTGTCAAAAAGTTCAGAATCAAATTTAACTAAGAAATTGTTACTCAAAAACCTGGTTAGAATCTCTGTGGATTGGTGCTGCAGACCTAAATATGAATTATACAGTATTTAATTTGTATTACCAACTGCCACCCCACAGTGGTGGCACTAGCTATAATGGGCTTAAAGAGGTCAAAGAGGCTGCAAAGAGGTATGTGCAAATGGTTGCCAAAGAGTGTCGTAGATGATGAAAGTTTTTTTAGGTTTAGAAGTTACTAGGCAAGTTAATACGGGAAAAAAAATTTCTCTGAAGGTTACTAAATATAGAGTAACCTAGGAGGTTCTGTGAGCAGAAAACAGGAAGACTGGGGATGTGTGCACCAAAAGTATCATATATGCTACTCTCATCTGGGCATCTTTTTTCTACTGCTCCTAAGACAGGATACAAAGCTGGAGGGACACTTTAATGGGAGAATGGCCATATTGGATAATTCTGGTGTTTTATTTCCTTCCCCTCTTCCCTAGAGTTCAACGGTGTGCCATGTTGCAGTTTTCAGAGTTCCATGAGAAGCTGCTCGCCACTCTTTGCAAGAAGACAGATGATGGTCTGACTACAGAACATGCTCAGAGTCTTGTATTAGACACGCTTTGTTGGCTGGCCGGGGTGTATTCAAATGGACCGGGCAGGTAAGAGAAATTGTGTTTACATTAGCATGGCTATTTCACAGTATCAGCTCTGTTTAAAGAAAAAAAAAAGTTTTAGATGAGTCTCTAAAGTATGCGACTTGTTTTTACAGCTCAAAGGAAGGAAGTGACAGCTTGCTTTCAAAAACACGTAAATGTGTCTCTAATATAATACGTGTTTGCTTCTTTGAAGCTGGGCGGAGCATAGCTCACAAATGTGCACGATTTCTTGCACTATGCATCAGGTCAGTGCTTATATATATTTATTTTTATATGTTTGTATTTTATATATATTTGGGGTTTTTTACGTGCAGTCTGAATTGTATATATGTGTGTGTTACTGTTTAACATTGAACTTATAAAGCAACAAGATCTGGAAGATCTTTTGTTGAGGAGAAAAATGTGTTAGGGTATGACTGAAAGAAATCAGTCTTTCAACTTCATCTTCTGGAGGAGATTTTGTGTTTCATTCTTACTTCATTAAATGTTCAAGTGTCTATGTGTTTCTTCATAGCAATGGCAGGTGTGACCCGAGTCAGCAGGGGTTTGGATCAGTTCTTCTAAAAGCTTTACTTGACAATATGCCTCTTTTGCCTGCTGCTGCAACAGGTGGTATGTATACAATGTTTGTTGTCATAAAAATACACAGTACACTTGTTGTTTGGCATGTTTTCTTGGACTCTCTTGTGAAATAAGAACTAGGTAATTGTTCAGTTCGTACAAACTGCCTCCTGGAGTGATCTGGTCAGGTGGTATCCAAGTATGAAGTATGCAGTTGTAGATGATGGAATTTTAAGCAAATTGGCTTGCTTAAAACAGAGTGCTATGGCACTGACATTTTTGGGAAAGCTTAAGTAAGTTTTGCAAGAGTTTTCAAAGGTGTTCAGCAACCACAGATTGTGTGGACATAAATGAGAGTCAGGGTTGTCTCTTATTTCTGAAAATTAGAAGATTTGTTCCAGGGAGCCTGACTGTCCAAATGATGTCCAGCTAGCTATCCACTTCTGTTACTTCTGCACCAAAAGGGAATTTTTAACTTCCTTTCTTTCCTTTCTCATCTGCATTGTGGAGTAATGGTATCTTAGCACCTTGCTGAATAAAGCCTTTTGAGTGCCAGATAGAATGGAAGATGACTTTAGCGCTTGTATTTGGGGTGCAAGACCTGCTTTGTGTTTTTCACAGTATGATGTTGAATTGCATCTAGCTTGGCATCACCAAGGAGTCTTGCTGGAAAATTAGTTTGCAGTCCAAAATGCTTGTTGTGCTCCCACCCAGGTAGAAACATGTAACACGCTGCTATTGAGGGTATGGAATGCAGAGGAGGAGGAGGAGGAGGAGGAAGCTGAGGTTGTGTTTCCATACAGAACCACTGCACTGTGCTCCCAGAACTGATCTGTAAGGAAACAGTGTCTCCAGCAAGTACAGAATAAGGAGACAACAGCCAAAAACAAAGGATAAGAGGAGAGGAAGAGTTGTATCTTGAGTGAGGCTTTAACCATTAGATACTTCATTTATTACTTCCATTGGTTATACTTCAAAGCATGCTTTCTGAGTGGAAAATTCATATCATGTTTCACCTGAAATTATTTTTTTTTTTAATACAGGATCTGTGTATTGGTATTTTGTATTGCTGAATTACGTAAAGGATGAAGATTTGGCAGGATGTAGTACAGCTTGTGCATCATTGCTAACTGCTGTGTCCCGGCAGTTGCAGGATCGCCTAACGCCTATGGAAGCGTTACTTCAAACAAGGTACTAAGAAATGTGGTTGTTTTAAACTTAATAACAACAAACGTACAAACTGTCTAATGCCTTCTTATGGTATTCTGAAAAAGGTTGGCTGTTTAAAGAAGGGATACATTTTATCATATTTGTTTGAAGAAGGATTAATTTGATACAGCTCTGGAAAATAGTTTTGACGTGTGCAAAGTTAAAGGTGAATTGAATTGCTATCTCTTGCCATTAAGAGTGCACTTTAAATGAGCAAATGTGTATGTAATGTTTGAAGTCTGGGCAATCGTTAAGTTAGTTTTTATGATTTTTAGTGTAAGGATCAACAAACAGTGTTCTGTTTTGAATATGAGAGGGAATCAGATACACCAAATAGTTTCAGTTCTCCGTAATGCTACTCAAAATTGTAGTCTCTCTGTAAGCTGACCATACATTTAATGTATTGCTACTGAAGGCCAAATTCTAAGTGTGGAGACCTGGAGTAATTTACTGGGAATGCAGCTGCTTCTTGTAAATGGTGTAGCAATGTAACTTCAGACTGTGATGTTGTGTCATTTACATATTGAACTGACTGGCCCTTTAACTTTGGATTTAAGTGATACCTAAAGGAAATCTCTGGTGGTTCGGTTTTGTAGCAGTTTCCAAAGCCGTGTTGTGATGATGGGAACACGCTGCTGTTAGACAGCTCTTGCAGTTGTGGTTTGTGGGCAAGAGTTTTCCTCCAAGTCAAGCAAGATCAAGGTAGAAGAGGTTTGGTAGAGGGTAGTGCAGAATCTTCAGATCAAATTGAAAATTTAGTAAGCTAAGTTTGGAGGGGGGGGGGGCGTTGTTTGTTTTTTTCTGTTTGATTTTAAGGACTATAATCCCAAAATACTTGATAAAAACTTGTTCTCAGATGTTAGACTTGTATCCTTATCGTGCTCTCTACTACATTCCTTGATTGTTGTTTTATTTCACCATCCGTAATACTTACCGCTGATTAGAAGACTTATCCCTGCAATAGAAATGGTGACTGGGTAATGGAGAATTTTGAAAAATAAAAAAGGTGAACTGGAAAAATAAAAGGTTTTGTGTTTTCATGTTGAATTTTCTTTAGAAACCAAATGGAGGAGAAAAACTTGAAAATTCCACTTGACATGAGAATGGCCCTTTCTGTAGGAATTGACTCATTCCTTCATAAAGATTGTTTCCAAGTACCTCCTTTAAACAGCATATCTGAAATAGAAGTTTTTTTCCTTTCCAGTTGCCCACTTTTGAGTTTGGCACATGTGACATTTCAAATCACTTAGTGGTGAACGCAGCTGTCTGCATCTGAAGGGAAGCTTTCTGAAGTGAGCCTCTGTTCTTGGCATCCTTCAAGCTTCGGATTTTGAATGTTTCTAGATGATGTTTTACTGATTTTCTTCTTGGAACTGAATTTGCTTTCTCTTTTACCTCAGTATTCCCATAGTTAGGATAAGAATAGCAGCAGACACATCTGTCTAATCCCATATTTGATTACTGTAGTGCTCTCTCTGGCAAGAACTGACTATTTCTTTACTTAATTTACTAATTTAGACAGAATTTACCGGCCTTTCCTTTATATGTCTACAGATCAAGCGAATACTGTCATTTCTTGGGTTTTTTTAATGTGGAAGATGAATATTAATTATTTTTTTAAAAAATAGAAATTAGTAGGTACTGCTGCTTTACTCTTTTTCCCTTCCCTCTCCCTGGGTTGTATTTTATTGTATTTGTGTGTATTTGTGTTGCAGAGTTGCTAGTATTTTTTTTTCTCCTTTGTCATTGTTCCCAGGTACGGTAGCCTAACATTTGGTAATCAAATAAAAGCAGATGTCTGCTTAAAGGATCTGCACGTTCATGTTGTCTTAAGGCAGAGTAGTACTCATTTTATTATCACGTGCCACAATAAAGCAAGTAAAACTTGCAAGGATAAGGCCAGATGAGTGTGTTACATGACTTACAGAGAACAACAAAAAAAGGATTTCAGACAGTATTTTAGGCTGTCCTACAACGAAGCAGGTTGGTTTGTCTCTAGCAAATCTGACTAATTTCTCCAGCCTGTTCTTGAAAGCACATGATTGAAGTAGTGGTGGAATTTAATTATTCTAAATATTGTAAGCTGTTACATGTCTTAATTATTCTTATCATTAACACTTGAACTGTCATCTTCTGCCCATGTCTGATCTGAAATCTCTCCTGCTGCAACTAAAGTCTTTTAATGTTTGTGTCCTGTCCACTTGGGCGATAAAGAGCAGATTATTTCATTCTTCACAAATTTTGGATGTCTAGAGGATGTTTGTATCTTGAGCATGTTCTCCAGATCTGTAATCATTCTTAAAGCATTTCCTTGAGCCGTTTTCTTTGGCCCTCATCTTCCTTGAATTGTGGTACACAAAATTGTATACATTATTCCAGTTGAGATCTCTGATGAGTGAAGCAGAGGAGTTTGTATGCATTACTGTGTAGATGAACAGGGTGATGGGTTTTTTATGTGACATTATTGATTCATTCTTTGTTTTTTGTTGATGTATCTTCTGTATCCTTTTCTGGAAAGTGTTGCTAATGCAGCTTAAAACTGTGAACCTGATCATTCCAGCTGAAGAATCAGTAAAAGGCATGACAGTTATTGAAATAAATTTGAGTTGTACAGAATATATTTTACTCTCTGCAATACATTCAAATTCTGATCCTATTCTACAAAGCTCTTGTAACCCCTTTTTAGGTTTTATCACCTGCTTACTTAATAAATCATGCAAGTAAACAGTGGTAGTGTTGAGCTCACCTAGTTTATAGAGTTTGTAAGTCTGAGGTTTAAAATGGACTGTGAAGGTACCCTCCTGAATTTTATCTGAGCATTTTTGTGTGGTTTAGTAACCACTTTACAGTAGCATGTTGTCTTGCTTTGCTTATGAAAAAAAGGTCATGCAGCAAACACATCAGTATGCACTGTTTCCGTGTAATAAATGCTTGTAGAGAGCAATCTAGGTTCATGTAATATGTGGTGTTCTTCATATAAAGTTGCCATCTTAAATTCGCTACCTTGTAAGTGCTTTTAAGTAACTTGGTTGAGCAATGTGTGTTAAATGTATGTTAAATGGATTGATCTGCAATTCTCAGATGTTCTTCCCTCTCTTTTTTTCTTTTTTTTTAAGATCAGTAGCAATTATTGCCCCTTTATATAATGCCATTTTCTGACTAGTTACAGTCTTAATATTGTGTGGAAAAAAAACATTGAGCCCAGCTGATGTGGAAGCATTTACCATTCAGAGGTGTCTAGAACCTGTTGCTGGTGTTGTGGTATTCATGTAGACATTGATCCTTTCATGACTACTTGATCAAAAAAGACATTTAAGCCCCCCAGCCTTCTCAGCTTTACCTGTGGGGGACTTCCCTCCCCTGCTCAAGAACAGAGACGGCTTGGAGGCAGAGGGAGGAGGGGGCGGAGGGGCTTTCTGTCGCTGCTGGTGTGCTCCTCGAAATGTCTTCTGTTTGTTCTGGTTTTATTTGCCAGTCAAAGCACAAAGTGTTATATGTTTCTCACTTTTGTACCTGCACAGATGCATTCTTTCTTTCTACTCCGGTTTAATAATTTGGCTTGTTTTCCATTTTTTTCTTCTCTTGGCAGTTGCTGGTGATAGGTGTTGGTACACAAAACCCACAACACTGATTTTGTTATTACTTTGGATTTTCCTTTTTCTTGGCTTATAAAACCCTGATTGATTTTGGACCACCTTGTTACCTTTTTTCCCCCTGCAGTACTACCAGAGCAGGGCTAATGAGATTTTCTTCTGTTGAGATATTTAAAGTACTCGCAAGTGTTGACTGGTATCGCTGGCAGCGTTTCCTTTTTACTTCTTAGTTCAGCTGGAAGAGCGAGCTGAGGTGGAATTTCTTTTGCTGTTTTGGAAAACAATACTGTGTTTTTATTGACTTCAGATAAATGTCTGATTTACCAGGTGCAGGTATGCATGTTGCTGTGGCTAATTGTCTAAGGCTTGTCGTTCTGGTTTCTGTGTCTGACTATGATTGTGTTATGTTTCCAGGGCAGTATTAGATCTTCAAAACTATTTGGTAACAGAGAGTTACTTATTTAGCATCATAAGCTGTTTGTAAAGGTCACCTAATAAATGCATTTAATGATATATAAGTAAATGGTAATTTCTAAGATATGTCAATTGAATGAAGAGAATAGTTTGGAGTATAATACATCCTGATGATTAAATACTTGGCCTTTTTTTGTAAATAGTTTTATATAAATTCTTTTTGTTTGAATAGTGCTGTTTGTCTTACTCATTTGCAGATATGGACTATATAGTTCACCTTTTGATCCAGTTCTGTTTGATTTGGAAATAAGTGGCTCTTCTTGTAAAAATGTATACAACAGCAGCATTGGAGTACAGTCAGATGAGATTGATTTGTCTGATGTTCTATCAGGTATGTAAGTTTAACAGTGATCTATTGTGGAAGAATTGGTAATTTTCTCTATTATACTGTTTTCCTTTAGTGAAGATGTGGTTTTATACTTTCCATCTGTTTTATAGCTGTACATAGTGAAGTTCAAGATATTCCGTTGCTTTGTGAGATCTCTTACATTTCCTGTAGCCCTTAGGGCAGGAAAAAAGCCTCTTTCTGGAATCTGTTCTTTTCTTATCCTGCAGAAGATCTAAGAAAAGGCTAGAGATTAAACAGAAATGCTGCTATCATTCCCTGGGTCAGAGTCATCTAGGAAGCATCTGTCACTTCTATTGACCAGCTTTCTTGAGATACTTTATTATTTATTTAGACTAGCAGCCATCTCATAGGCAGAGAAACGTAAAGTTGGGAAGCTGCCATATAGCACTCTTCTTAAATATTACAGATTTAATGAGATTTCTTTCTGTTTCAGAGGCATTAAAATAGCTTAAAAGCCTATTTGTATCTATCCTCTCAGATCAGTTCATAAGTGAATCTTTAGGTCTTAAGAATGAGCCAATTTTTACCTATCAGGAAATTTTTTTCATAGCAAGTATGTTCATCAGTCATAATGACTCCTGTCTTTTTCTTGTATGCTCTTGATCTCCTTCCCATCCCTCCCTCCATACAACACTGTGAATTTGTTAGAATATTGAATAATAGTCTGGTTTTTATACTAACTCGGTGTGGGGTCTTAATTGGTCTGTTATTTTCTTTCTCTTCCTTTCCAGTAACATCAATATATATTTTCAAGCTAATTTTCTGACAGTGTAGAAAGAATAGAACATCCATATGTAATTTATTTCTGGAATTAAGAAGGTTACACAATGCTTCTGTTGTCACATTTGATAGTTTGACTTATTAAGATACTGTGTTTGGATTTGGCACCATTATCCATTTTAAAATACACTTCCATTTATATTGTGGATGTGATAGTGTTAAGGTGTTTGTTCCACAGCATGAAGTAATAAAATATGTGGATTGTGTTTAGTTGTCCCTTTGGACTCTTCGTGACTTGAAATGTCGCTATCAAGAAAACATGAGCTGATTGTGGGGATACTTACTTCTCTTTCAGGAAATGGGAAAATAAGTAGCTGTGCAGCTGCTGAAGGTAGTTTTACTTCCCTTACTGGACTTCTGGAAGTTGAACCTCTGCACTTTACCTGTGTTTCAACAAGTGATGGAACTAGAATAGAAAGGGACGATGCAAGTACGTTTACTGGTATATACAATTTTTCATTTTTTTTCTACTTGACATATTTCCACAATATGGTATTTTTAACATTGTTTGACAAACAAGTTGCCTGTAGCTTCATAAGTGTTGAAATGTTGTGGGGTTTTTTTTGTTTTGAAATAGTTACTATATGTGAAGTTAAACTTCTTAGAGCTGGATTCCAAACTTGAGTCCAAATTTACTAATTTGAAGCAATTTGTTTCTATCGGAGAGTGTAACATACAAGCTTGCATCTTTACCTTGCAGCCTTATGTGGCGAAAGAATTCCAGGGCATTACGTGGCTCTCATGTGATGGCAATGTTGTGTGTATGATGACTGTGCATAGTCTATAAACCATATACTTTGTAATTCAAGATGATGTCACTTTGTAGCAAGAACTGTATAAAAGGAGATGTTTCTCTTGTTTTTACATTGCTCGTAACAATTAGTAAGGAATTAAATTAAAGGTGTGTTTTATCATTTCTACATACATGTTTTTTGTTTGTTTTTTGTTTGTTTGTTTCATGCCAGTGAGTACCTTTGGGGTTACCCCAGCAGTTGGTGGCCTCTCTTCTGGAACGGTTGGGGAAGCCTCGACAGCACTGAGCTCGGCAGCCCAGGTAGCTTTGCAGTCTCTCTCTCATGCAATGGCCTCAGCCGAGCAACAGCTCCAGGTGCTGCAAGAGAAACAGCAGCAGCTTTTGAAGCTTCAGCAACAGGTTGGAGGCTATTTGGCTATTTTTTAATGCTTTCTCTAAACTTCAAAAGCTGAGAAAGTAGTTGCAGAGCTACTTGCCTTTTTTTTTTTTTTGGTCTTTTTTTTCTCTGTAATGTGTTTGAGGAAGGAACAGCTCTGCACTGAGGATCACTCTTACTAAGCAAAATGCTGAGAGTGTCTCCCATGCTGCGTTGGTCTTTCAGACTTGTTTTTTCTGTATTTTGAGGGGGGATGTGAGAGTTTGTAATCAAAAGTAAATCTTAACATGCAAGTATATCAGTCTGAAATTGTAAAACCCCACTGAAATGAGAAGCACAGTTGCACACACAGGGAAGTACTAGTCATAAAGCTGTTGTCAGTATGAAGCTTGGCTGTGTTGACTTGACTTTGCTGTTCAGTTGTACGTTTTTTATTATTTTTTGATTATTCCAGTTAATTACTTAATTACTCATGTTCCTCGGCAAGTGAGGTCAAATTGAATAGAGTTTCATTTTTTGGCTTGTAGTTGGACATCTAACATGCCTATGTTGAAGGTTACTTGGATTTATTAAATCTAATTCTATAATGAAAGTTGAACTTGTAGTTCAGTACTACTACTGTGTTCACAAGCGGTACTATCTGCTACATACACTGCTTCCATTTTCCCCACAGAAAGCTAAGCTGGAAGCAAAACTGCATCAGACAACAGCAGCAGCGGCAGCAGCAGCATCAGCAGTTGGTCCTGTTCACAACTCTGTGCCTTCTAACCCAGTAGCAGCCCCAGGGTTCTTCATCCATCCCTCAGATGTCATTCCACCCACACCAAAAACAACTCCTCTGTTCATGACTCCACCTTTGACTCCGCCTAATGAGGCAGTTTCTGCTGTTATTAATGCAGAGCTTGCTCAGCTTTTCCCTGGTTCAGTCATTGATCCCCCAACAGTTAACCTTGCAGCACATAACAAAAATACAAGCAAATCTAGAACGGTAATTATTTTTGTTTGTTTTTTGTACAGAAACAAGATACTGTAAGCCTTATTAGGATCTAATTTGTACTTGAGTGCTAGTAAATATATTTATTTGGATGAGATGTGAAAACGATGTCACTAAATTTAGACCATACAAAAAGGCAGACATATGAAAGCAAGATATAGTTGTTTCAGTGCCTCAAGCGGTTTCTTTTAATTGGAGCTAGCTTCACTGTATAAGGAGGTATTAATTGTTTGAACTTAGTTAATACATTTTGATGGTTCATACTCAAATCTAAATGTAGTGAGGTGTTGTCAGAATTGCACACCTTTAAATCACAAGAGGTTTTCTGACAGTCTTTTGTAAAGAACAGCTTATTATAAGTGCATAGATTTTAATGACTTAATTTTACTGATGTTTTCCCACTCCTCAGAATCCACTTGGATCCGGTCTTGCTCTTGCAATATCTCACGCTTCACATTTTCTTCAACCTCCACCTCATCAGTCAATTATTATAGAGCGAATGCACTCAGGTAAAACCAGAATTCCTAATAAAAGTTTTGACACCTTTTCTAATAAGAAGTGGAGTATTTTCCAGAGTCTGAAGTATGTTGCTTAGCTGCAGTCTCCCTTGGCTTTCCAAAGAAAAGATACTTCTCAATTTGAGTTTCTGTTGATTCTGCAAGTTTAAGACCCAGCATTCAGTAATGTTCATCAAGTTGAAAAATCCTTGGGGCTGGGGCAATATTTTGGGGCTCCGGACAGAGCACCTGTTCTGAAATAATGCATAAAAAGCATAACTTAAGTTGAAGCCAAAATTTTCTTTTCAAAGGATGCAAACTGTAGTGAGAGATTCTGAGATTGTGCAGCTATTTTTAACCTCAAATATACACCTTTTGAACAACATATAAACCATGACTTTGTTGATTGAGAAGTAATTATCTCTTCACTGGTTAGCAAGCACCAATATTTTAGGCAATCCTGTGGTTTTTCCCTAGGAGCAAGAAGATTCGTGACCTTAGATTTTGGAAGACCTATATTGCTGACAGATGTATTGATTCCCACTTGTGGAGATTTGGCTTCTTTATCAATTGACATCTGGACTTTAGGAGAAGAAGTGGATGGAAGGCGGCTGGTAGTGGCTACTGACATTAGCACACATTCACTTATTTTACATGACTTGTTGCCACCCCCAGTTTGCAGGTTTATGAAGGTAAAAGGAGATAGACTGCATACTCTATCTTTTAAATTCTTGATCTTTGTTAGTACGTGAACTTTCTCTTCAGTAATCTTCAGACCATGGCTATAATTTTTTTATGAATTTTTGACTTGGTATTTATTTTGCCTGTTTTGATACAATTGTTTTACAGTATAGTTGCATTCTTTTTCAGATTACTGTTATTGGTCGATATGGTAGCACAAATGCCAGAGCAAAAATCCCATTAGGATTTTATTATGGCCATACCTATATCTTACCCTTTGAAAACGAGCTGAAACTAATGCACGATCCCCTCAGAGGAGAAGGTGAAGCTGCAAATCAGCCGGAAGTTGACCAACATTTGGCAATGATGGTTGCCTTGCAAGAAGACATACAATGCAGGTTAGAAGAAAAAAAATCTGTACTTACTAGTTACTTTAACTTAAAACACTTGGATATCATCATGGTCGAGATTTATTTTTTTTTTCTTCCCGTGATATTCTTCAGACCAAAGAAAACTCTGCATTTGTTGTAGAGTTGTTAGAATTAATATCTTTATAGCAGTAACAAAGACTACACTGTATTTTTTTTCCAGTATCTGTTTTAACAGTGCATTCAGAATAGACCAAAAGTTGTCTTCTGGCAGGGTGACTGTCAAATGTATTGCCATTTGCTAATGCCTATCGAATTGTGTGTTGGAATCTTTCCATTTAGGTACAATTTGGCCTGTCATCGGTTAGAAATCCTTCTGCAGAGTATTGACCTGCCACCGCTCAATAGTGCTAACAATGCCCAGTACTTTTTACGAAAGCCAGACAAGGCAGTAGAAGAAGATAGCAGAGTATTTTCTGCTTACCAGGACTGCATTCAGCTACAACTTCAACTCAACTTGGCTCACCATGCTGTTCAGAGGCTTAAAGTAGCTTTAGGTGCAAGCAGGAAAACGCTGAAGGAGCAATCTGATCCAAAAGAGTTGATTCAGATGTCATCCACAGAACAGTTACGCACCATCATTAGATACTTACTGGATACTTTGCTTAGTTTGCTTCATTCTTCCAATGGTTAGTATTTTTTGAGATTTTGATATTTTTGTCACGTTACTAGAAACACTTGGCAAGTGTTTTTATTTCTTGATCTGTACTTTCCCACTATAATGCTTTTAAACTACTTTCAGGTATGTTTTACTATGATTCTCGTAGCTGGTAACATATAGTGTAAAGTTTCACCAGTGGCACCAAGCTGACCTAACCACTTCCCACTCCCGAAAAGGATAGGAGAGGGTGTCAAGGTCCTCCTTCCTTTTCCATAGTCCTGGCTGCATATGTCTTTGTTCAGATAGTCATCTGATCCTTCTGTGGGCTGATTCAGTTTGCTGAAGTAACAAAAGACTGCCCAGGCAGAATACTCATGTTGTTTTCATAGGTAGAATCAGCTGGTGGAAGGATCTGTGAGCATCGAAGCCTGTGCAACACTGGGATGGATTAGGCAGTTAGAAGTGGGGAGGGGAAGTGTAAATTGCTTCTGCGGGAGAGGGGGGCGGGAAGTCATAAAACCAGTGTCACTACTCAGTTAATGATTTTTAATATCCAGTAAGGATTTTTATTTCCTAAACTTGCCATTGAAAGAGTTCTTTGAGAATCGAAATTGAGAAGTCTGAGTAGGAATAGTGTGTGTTTTTTGTTTTTTTTTTTTAAAAAAAAGAGCAGAATATTGTTCTTTTGATAGATAGGTGTGTCTGTCTTACAATTTTCTGTGCTGGTTTGTTCTTAAGCATAATGATGGTTTGGTTTTTGCTTTATGTAGTCTCCATGGGGGTATTTGCACTGATGTGAAACTGATCTGGTTTTGACCAAATGGCCTGGTCTTTATGGGGTACCTGCAAATTACCATGCCCCCATGTGTTGCCTCCTCCTTCCCCTCTGTGCCAATTAGTCGAATCATAATATTTTTAAAAAACTTTCTGCAAACTTTTTCTTCCTATGCTTTCAAGTCAGTGTCTCCTTAAATATAGTTGCTTGTTCTCTTTTCTCAAAAGGGCACTCTGTTCCTGTGGTTCTGCAAAGTACTTTTCATGCTCAAGCTTGTGAGGAATTATTTAAACACCTCTGTATCAGTGGAACCCCAAAGATACGATTGCATACTGGCCTTCTGCTTGTTCAGCTCTGTGGAGGAGAAAGATGGTGGGGTCAGTTTCTTTCAAATGTACTGCAGGAATTATACAATTCAGAGCAACTTCTCATATTCCCACAAGACAGGTAAGCTATAAGTCTATATTGATACGTTACTGGTGGATCACTTAAATAATTCCATTGTTCGTAACTTAACATTGGAATTGACAAAATGTGACTGTAGGATACTTACCCATCTATTCCACTGATTTAAGAAATAGTCCTAAAAAAGGACTGCAAATGATAAATGTCTGATTGCAGATACTTATTGCACCTGTTTGGTGCTTGCACCATGATAAGTTACTGTTTTTCCTTCCTTGGAGATCTTCATATACCTAGCAGGATTACTCCCCAGTGTCAAAAATTGTCTTCTCCTTTATCAGGCTTAAATGCGTCCTCATTATAGAGCTGTTCTTCTAATGCGTTTGAAAGTAAGTTTGAGACTGGCAAGCACACTGTTAGCATTTAATGCAAAAAATTTCTCTGAGATAAGAGCAAACGCGTGTAGAGTTGAGCATTGAATGTTGTTTGTGTTGATTATTCCAGATTATTGATTGAGGTCTTTGATGTTCTAAACATTAGCATTTTATTTTAATCAAACATACTTGCTGTTGTGTGGCTTTCTGCCTTCTTTGGACAGCCACGTTTGTATTTTCATAATCTTTTTCAAATAAATTAATTCAGGCATACTTGAATGCATGGATTTAGTTCTCTATCCCTGCTATTCAGTATATCCTGTGTAATAGGACATAAAACAGATGAGATCCTGTTTCAGATGTAGGAAGTGGAATGCTGTGCTGACCTCTTGAGGGTGAAAGAGAAAATGTTCACTTTAAAATACTGCATTACTCTTGCAACAATAGAGTGGGAAATCCAGTTCACTTGCTGGGCCACAGTACTGGTTTTTGAAGCAATCTGCTTGTGTCTGGGGTGAAAGCCTAGAGGAATATTGTTCTGTAAGGGATGTTTCAGAATGTTACTGGATCTGAAAAAGAAATAAAGTCTTAAATATGTAAATTTTATTTTTAGGGTCTTCATGTTGCTTTCTTGCATTGGCCAAAGATCGCTTAGCAACAGTGGTGTTTTAGAAAGTTTACTTAATCTGCTGGATAACCTGCTGTCACCACTGCAACCTCATTTACCTGTGCACAGAAGAACTGAAGGTAGCCCTCTGATTTGGGAAACTGTATTTTCATATTCATTATAAGCTAGAAAATTGAGAGCCTAGCTCACAATTTTTGGTGTGTTAAAAGAAGAACTTGCTTGTTTACTCTATTTCCAAAACACAGTTGTCTTTTAAAATGTGCTAAAACTTCTTGTTCTTTAGGTGCTAGAAGAGATTCCTCCACCCCCCACCCCCCCCTGTTTAAACCTGAGCAAAATCAATTTGGTTGGTTTTAATTCAGCTAGGAAGCTTCAAAGTTTTAACAAAGTGGGGGGAACATCCAGTGTGTAGACAGCTCTAGTGGCTCTAGTGAATGACTTTGGAATTTAGCATTTTGGAAAGAAGTGCCCTTTTTTGCTCATGAGATCTTTTCTAAGTTTCACGCTTTCAAGGTGAAACGAGGTTATGAAGACAAGTTTGTTAGGTGTAGCTGCATGGTTTTGGCAAACTACATCGGGTTTTTGTAATAACAAGGATTTTACATTTTTTTGACCCTAAAAAAATGACTGAAATTATATTCTCCAAACTTGATTTTCATCGAGTGTTCTCTTAACTACCGTAAGGTTGAAGAAAATTCTTGCTTTTGAAAACATCAAACTCTAAGCTACTTCATTTGTTACATACATGTGGCAGAACATTGTAGAAGATAGGTTGTTTAAAATTCTTAGCGCTGTGAAGTTGGCAAATGTCAGCTGAGACTCTGTCCTTACTTTTTACCTTGTGTCCTGACATAAACAAGCCGACAGCTGGTGTCAGAAGCTGTCCTATTGCTTCCCATTGGTGTACCGTGTACTTTCTCTATCGTGGCCATATCCTGCTGTAGTCTCTAACTAGTCTGAGGGAAACCCAAGCTTACATCTCCTCTACCTCTGTTTGCACTCTCCCCACAGCTGCCAATTCCTTTCATAGCTCTTGCCTTACTAGTTGTCCTCACGGAGGACTTTAGGAAGCAGAAGTAACTGATACTTCAGAGCTTTCTTTGCTGGTCTTCCAGCTTCCTTCCTCCTGGACGATACAGGTGAGTACTAGGGCATTATTGTGTGTGGTGGAAGCATCAGGTACGGCAGAAGAAATTCCTATTTGAGAACTATCACGCAGAACTAAGGGTCAAAGGGGTGAAAACTTACTGGGGAAAAAGTCAGAAAACAAAGGACAATCAGAGCAAGAGGTGAGTAGAGTGGGCAGAGAGAAGTTGTAAACTTGGAAGCAGAACAGGTAAAAAAGGAATAAACAAAAGACACTTGGAGGGAGGAGGAGAAGCTGAAAATTTTGGTGTGGTGGTGGTTTTATTTTTTCTTTAAGAAATAAAACGAAAAGAAATGCCCTTGTTTAGACAGAAGTATGAAAAGGTATATACTTCAGTCTTCAGCAGGCTCCTTTCTTTTTATTCTGCCAACCACAAATGTGTGTAGCAGTCACCAGTGCTACTCAGTTCTATTCTTGCAATTTAGTCTGCAGTTCCTGTTCAAGTCCTGTTACGAGGAGACCCCCTGTTCCTCTGCCTGCTTGGGGTGGGCTGCTTTCTGCCGGTGTGGGCAGGAGTCTGCACCCTATTGCTTGGGCTGCCAGCAGCTACAGGGGATCTTGGACAAGTCGTTTCTGTGCCGTAGTTTTCTTCTTTAATCTGGAATTAAAAATAGTTTGAGTTAATTAAGGCTTTTTTTGAGGTCAGTGCATGAAAAGTGTAGTGTGGTTAAATGAGGCTCAGCACAGTGCGCACATATGAAAATGTGCGTGTAACCTCTGGCACTAATGATTTTGCCGTATTGATATTATGTAAAAGTATGCCATTTGCATAATGACTGTGATTAACTGGTCATTAATTGTAGGTTTCTGACCTTTATTGAGCACTCGTGAATTCACTTTAGAACTGTTCATTTAGATTTGCTCATGCACACAAAGATTTTTTTCGCGTGATGTGTAAGATACGGGGTTTTTTCCGTTCTGACTGTACAAAAATACTGCATTTTAATGTGTGAGACTGAAATAGGCAATAGGCAGTTATTACTGCCACCAGCATGGTTCTTCTAGTCTTGGCTTTCCTGCATCTTACTCAAATGGCTATGTGAAAATAGACTAACAAAGGAGTAAAAAAGAAGGTATTTGGGTGCACGGTTATAACTGTCTTGTGGGAGCCCTGGTTGATAGAGGAATTTCACACTCTGGAATTGGAAACATCTAATTTATGTGCTTTAATGCAAGCAGCAGTCATTCTGCATTTGGTATTTAAGAAATTCAGACATACGATTTTTGACTTTTTTTTTTTAAATGCTGCTTAATTTTTAGCTTTAATGGTAGAGGTGAAGCTTTTGACTTCTGACTTCATCAGACTAAGAGAACTGTGACATTTTATCTTGCATCTGAGTTCTATACTGAATTTTTGATTTCTTCTCTTATTTCTGAGTGTTCAGACTCTTATCTTTATTTTAAAAAAAAAAGTGAAATCTTTGTGACTTAGTGTGTGCCATCGAATGCATTTTGTGATTTCTTTAAAACTAGTTTATTATGACTTGAAAACTTTATTAAGGCACTCAAATCTATTTATTTTGAAGGAGTTTTAGACATTCCCATGATCAGCTGGGTTGTAATGCTGGTGTCCAGACTACTAGATTACGTAGCTACTGTTGAAGATGAAGCAGCCACAGCCAAGAAACCTCTAAATGGAAAAGAGAGGGAACGATTTTTGACAGGTATGTGGCACGTATTATCAAAACTTGCTTCTATGGATATTGGTTTAGGAGCTGTTCAAATACTTAAAATGTATTTTCAATTCACTTGAAAAATGAGATTTTAAAAACGAATGTTGTGATCATTTTATTTGCACTGTTGTCTGCTTCTTTACATCCCCTTCTCCTTAGAAACATGACCTTTCATTTTTTTAAAATGAAAAATACAGGATTGATTTTAGTTTCTAAAATGTCTGTATATTATCCTGTGACTCCAGGACCTGGCAAATGAGAGTACACCATGTTGAGATAGTTTGGTGTATTGTGAGAAAGGGCAACAGTATGACTTCTTAACTGCATTGGTACTTGCCATGGTATTTGCCTCCAGTATTTTTAAATGCATTTTTATTATTATTTTTTATTGTTATTTAAGTGGATTAGCTATGGTTTCCTTTAAATATCTTTTCTAAAAATTAAAACTGTAAAGCTTTGGTGTTATGGAAGCTGTTCAGGTATTTTTGGTTAGGACAGTCTTACTTACCTCCTTATATGTTTTTAAAATAACGAAAACAAGATGGTACCCCCGCATTTTAAAATTACATAGAAATATTACCATCAGTGGTGGTAGTTGCGTAACACTAAGAGAGATTTTGCTGGTTTCTTTAGGATTTAGTGTATGGAGATACTAACCATTTGCTGCAATGTAAATGCTTTTCTCTGGAGTTCAGTGAGGTTTAACAAGATGGATTAATATCTCCTTTTTTTTTTCTGTTTCCGTTAGGAAACCAGTGGAGTTTTATAAATAATAGCCTTCACACCCAGAGTCTGAGCAGATCTACTAAAGGCAACAGTAGCCTAGACAGACTGTATTCCCGAAAGATCAGAAAACAACTTGTGCATCATAAACAGGTGACTTCCAGCACAGTAGTGGCTACTTTCACAGAAGTATATCTCATTTGTAGTATATCTCACTTCTTAAAAGAACAGCTTTGGCCTTGGGACTCATTCAGCCTTGCTTTTGCATAGATCTGGTTCTGTAGCTAAAGGCTGCCTGACTTCTTTGACATTCATCTCAAACCGTGGGGCATGGGATCTGCTGGAGAACAGATGTTGGAGTGTACTGTTGCGCTCTGTGACCCATATTGGACAATAAATATAATTTACTTTCTAGATAAATCTGGGCACACCTGAGTGCAAGCACCTAAGCTTTGATTTAAAAGTATTTTAAAAGCTGAAGTTACAATTTGAACTGAAGATTACTATCGTATGAACATACTGATCCTTTTAACATCTTATTACTTAAATTTTCATTTTTTCCTATTAACATTTTCTTTTAGCAACTTAACTTATTAAAAGCAAAACAGAAGGCTTTGGTGGAACAGATGGAAAAAGAGAAAATACAAAGCAACAAAGGATCATCATACAAACTTTTAGTAGAACAGGCAAAACTAAAGCAGGCTACTTCAAAGGTACGATGCTCTGAAACTGTAACTGACTTCTTGTCCTTTGTGTGAAAAGACCTGTTCCTGCAAAGTGATTTTTGTCCTGTGTTGACCTTATTTTAAAAAAAGTTGTTTCATAGTGGCTGCTATCAAGTATATTCTGATGCTGAAAACAGCAGCCATCTGGAAATTTCTGGCACTGTGAAAAATAGTTTATCCTCCCACAGGGGTGTTTTAGGTAGTCATGGCCGAAATCACTAATAATCGTATAGCTCTGAGAATGCCAGTTGTATCTTTAAACTTTGGATAACATATACCAACAGAAATGTAAAATAATATTTTATATGGCTAACTTTTATGCGTGATACTCATCTGGATGCTATCCTGGTTGAGTAATCAGAAAATAATTATACACATGACTGTCTCCCCAAACTACTAAATACAACTTTTGAGAATGTTTGTTTGTTTTCTGAGCTTTCTCAGAAGCTTCTTAGTTTCTTAAAAGTACTTACCACCTAAGTTGTGGCATCTTGCAGTAAGCCCCAGAAATTGAGAGTGGGTGTGGTAGTTAAAGAGTTACTTTGATTATGAGATGAGGTGCTGAAATTTAGGGATATCTGGAGATGGCAACATGGGCTTTGCAGGGAACACAAAAAAATATGTAAACCATCTAGCTACCAAACTTAGGTATCTCTTTAAATACTTACTCCCTAGTTCCAGAAGTACTAATGTCTGTTAGGATGACTGAAAGTAGGCCTGTGGAAGGAGATTATAGAATGTTGGACCTTACAGGCAATCTAAAGGGAAATCTTACAACAACTTCCAGTATTATGGGAAAAGAAAAAACAAAATTTGAACACCAGCATAAAAATAAAGCCCTAAGTTTTCACTAACTCTGCTTGTCATGAGCTGTTCTTTCCTGCACTATCTTCTGCTTTATTCCAGCAGGTTGTATCAAGGGGGGGTGGCCCCCTTGAGACATCTTTAAATGAGTCACTGGTTCAAATATACTGTCTGGCTATTTAAGTTTCACTTTATAGCAGCCATATTGCATCAAAAAAGCATGTTGAACTAAAGAGTTTTCCCTTGCAGTATCTTAACATCTAGTTATGGTATTACTGGACACTTGTTAGTTGCATTTCATGCAGTTTTTACTACTTCACCTACTAATTGCTTTCAGTTATGACAAGCTGTGAGTAACTTAAAACATTTATTGCATTTAGGAGAAAGCTGAAACCTTTGTGTTAGTACTTTCTCTGATCTACTTCAGTAGGTACTGCTTAAGTGAGATTGTAAGAGGCGTTTGTGTAATCCAATTTTGGACTGCTTGTGTAGCTGATTCAATGAACTGAGCTGCTAAATGTGTGCCCTTGGTGGGTGGGAGGATTAATAAAAGCACCTTCTTTCCTCCATTGAGTTTGTAGATTCTCTGTCAAAAAGGTTGTAGTATAAAGCCTTGATCAAGTATCAGACTAGTTCAATTTATGGTGGCTAATGCACAGTTGTACCCTGGAAGTATTAAGAAATTTAGAAATTATTGGTGATTTGTCTAATGTGAAGAACTGAGAAGTCAGCATTCTTCTAAGGGTAAATTTCCATATTAGCTATTTTTTATGCAGTTTGCTTCATGGTAACCATAGCTTTCTATGCAGGTGTGGAAATATGAAAAAAATCTTCTAAAATACACATTCTCAATATATTTTATGGCAAACATAAAGGCTTGATTGGCACTTGTCCAGAGCTGGATTTGGTATGAGTCTGTCACCTGAGATAACATGCTGCCAAAACAAATTTCTGCCAATAAAGCCTTAATTCCATTTCAGATTCTCATATAGTCTTAGACTTTTTTTTTTTTTTAATAAGTTTTACAATTACTGTTATTGCTGCTTCAGATTTTCACTTGGAAAAGGCTTAGATGTTAGTTCTAAAATGTAACTGTTGTTTCCAATTGATTTCTGCAGCACTTCAAGGACTTAATACGCTTACGTAGGACTGCAGAATGGCCTCGTTCTACTTTAGATACAGAAGTATCAACAACAAAGGAAACTCCAGAAATTGAACCGCTTCCATTTACACTGGCACATGAACGCTGTATTTCTGTAGTGCAGAAGCTGGCACTCTTTCTCTTATCCATGGACTTTACTTGTCATGCAGATTTACTTCTGTTTGTTTGTAAGGTAAACAGAATCTGGAACATCACTCTCTAGTTGCAATGGAGACTGCATTAAATTATCTTTCTGTAACTGCTTGTTTGCTGGCTTGATGGTAAAAATTAGCGGCAGCATTACAATTTCTAGTAATTTCTGATGGGGTAGTTTTTCTGATCTGTCACCTTTTGTGTAACTTACGGTATGATGGCTTCAAAATTGCATAGAAAAAGTAACTTTGAAAAAAATTCTCGTATGATTCACTTGTAAAATTCTAAAATTTAAGCTAGTAAAAATACCTGATTTACTTGTAAGCAAAATCTAATAATCATAGAAATTAAAGCTGTTGCATATTTTCATAGTGTTAAATATGAACAGGCAAATATTTCTTTTATAGGTTCTTGCTAGAATTGCAAATGCTACAAGACCAACAATTCATTTATGTGAGATTGTAAATGAGACTCAGTTGGAAAGATTATTGCTGCTTCTCGTCGGAACGGACTTTAACAGAGGAGACATCTCCTGGGGAGGAGCATGGGCTCAATATTCCCTGACCTGTATGCTGCAGGATATTCTTGCAGGTTTGTTTGAAGTTCATATTTTTCAGAATGTATGTTACACTTGAAACTTTCTTCCTTTAGTGTTTTAGGGGTTTTTTCATTATCATATTAGAATCTGATGACAGTGTGAAGATAGTTAAAAAAACCCAAAATGTAACATTGAGATTGGTGTGTAAAAATGCAATTTAAAATTGCAATTACTGTCAATCCTGAATTAGTGACTTGTGCATTGAAAAGTTATTTATATGACCCTGATTATTTAAAAATTGTTCAGAACTCCTCCGCATGAAGAAGTAGCCCTTAGAGAATTTGGAGTTAGATGAAGAAAAACAGGCAGTTGGCTTAGACACTGAGATGTTCATTTGTAACTGGAATAAAGTTTTACATGGAGTTGTCTGCTTAATCTGAGTAGGAGAGTTGTTGGCACCTATAGCGGCTGAAGCTATGGAAGAAAGTGCTTTGGGAGAAGATCCTGGAGCTTCGGCTGGGGATTCTGATGACTCTCTGCAGCAGTCCACGGTTCAGTTAGTGGAAACAATAGATGAGCCTTTGACACATGACATCACAGGTAAATTATTTAATAATCTTGACATATATATGTATACTGAGAAAAGTAAAAAAAAACAACAAAACAAACCCAAAAAAACCCAAAAAACCAACAACAAAACTTTGCTTTTAGTCATCTGTCAAAATATCAGTAAAGGATTTTTGGTGACAGGATAACTAGTTTCTGAAAATATAGGCAGAATATGAGCAATTCTTCAAATGGTTATTTTTCCGATTATTTAAAAAAGGCAACTTGATTGCATTATTAACTTTTTCCACCAAGAGCCATGATATGATCTTCCTTAAAATTATCCATTAGGTGTATGATATATCCATGTTTTATAATTGGTAGTTGGTAGTATTAATACCCTTTTAATCATGCAAAGGTGCTCCACCTCTGTCATCTTTGGAAAAAGATAAGGACATAGACCTTGAATTACTGCAAGACCTGATGGAAGTTGATATCGATCCTTTGGATATTGATTTGGAAAAAGATCCCCTTGCAGCCAAAGTCTTCAAGGTATGACACACCTGAGTCTTCAGGATAACCTTTACATGTGAAATAGTAAAATCCTTTCTCTGTGACACTTCTTCATTAGTGCTATTTGATGTCTTAGACTTGCTTTTAGCTTTTTGTAAAGATTCAATGTAGAATGACATGAAAGAATGTAAAAATCGTGTTCATATCTCAGATATATTTATATCTCAGTTGACCACAAAATTTTTGCTTTCGCATGAAGATATCTGTATAAACAAGAGTTTCTGAGTTTACTCATACTTTAGCACGTTAAAGACAACAAAAGCATAATATAAAAGAAAAATAAGATCTAATCTTGACTTTTATTAAGAATAGAATGCCATTTGCTTCTGCAGCTGATCTTAAGAGTTAATACTGCTAGTATTGTGTAAAAAAAAAAAAAAAAAGGCAAGCGGTAGCCTGTGCTCAGACCAACTTCAGACTATGAAGAGAAGCAACCACAAAACTTATTTCACTGGAGAACCAGAAAGTTGTTAAATGCTTTCATACTTAAAGTGGAAGCTAAACATGTCAGAGGTAGTAAAGTTACATTTAGATGTAATAGTATATTGTCAAGATATATCAAAACCCAAAATTTTTTCATTGTAAAGAAACACAACTGTTCATAATAAAATGCTGAGTCACTTTTCTCTATCTGTAAGGATGATGCTCTCATATGGGGTTTTCCCACTTCTCTCACTATTGACTTAAACCTTCAGCCTCATTTGAATTAACCTGAGTTGTCTTTCTTGCCACTTGCTCAGACAACACTGAATTTTCTTTTTTTTTTTTCCTATGTTCCCTTGTATGTCCTTCAGCTGATTACCTATCGTGTAAAGATTTTTTTTTTTCTTAAAATCTCACCCTACCAAAATTTCCACTTATTGCTTAATTTTTGTGTTACTGATGTTTCCCTCCTTCTTTATTCTGCAACATTTCATGTGGCAATACTCCTTAATCCACTTCATTCATGGGTATCTTCATCATCTTACTGCATGATTGGATGTCCTTTAAAAGACAGCCAGAAAAACACTTAAAACTTCTTCATCCTTAAGATTTGCTGCTATATCTGTAAAATGACACTTGATATTCGATCTTGCCATTAAAAAGACAGGCATACAACCTGGAGAAGAGAAGGCTCCGGGGAGACCTTGGAGCAGCCTCCCCATACCTAAAGGGACCAACAAGAAAGCTGGGAAGGGGCTTTTTACAGGGCACGGAGTGATAGGACAAGGGGCAAGGGCTTTAAACTGGAAGGGGGAAGATTTAGATGAGATATTGGGAAGAAATTCTTCCCGGTGAGGGTGGTGAGTACCTGGCACAGGTTGCCCAGAGAAGCTGCCGTGGCAGAAGTTGCCCAGAGAAGCTGTGGATGCCCCCCCCCTGCCCATGGCAGGGGGGTTGGAACTGGATGGGCTTTAAGGTCCCTTCCAACCCAAACTGTTTCATGATTCTGTGATTCTATGAAATTGCCTCCATACAGTCTTACATTCCTTTTTTTTTTCTTGTGATCCATGTTCTTTATTATCATCTTAAATTATGACACTTGAGCAGAGATTATTCAACTTTCTCTTTTGCAGAGCCCAGTACAAATAATTCCTGAGCCTCACTGAGGCTTCAAGGTACTTTAATAGTACAGTTAATAATATAGTATTCTGTCTTAATAAATAACTTCTCAAAACACCTGTATGATACTCCACTTCCAAATTTACAGTGTACAGGTACAAATGTGTGAATGAAAACTGATGATAACATTTTCAAATTGGCTTCTTGAATCTTTGAGACAGCTAACTACACTGCTGGATTTTTTGATAATCACTAAGGATTCAGTAGCTTATACAGCAATAAAAATTGAAACAAAATTTTCTAAAGCTCTTGGACAATCTTCTGGTCTTAATTTTATGTAACTTTAACGTTTGTTATATTAGTCATTACAAATTTTATTTTTATACTTTTGGACAGTCTAAAGAGTTGCTGTTTATTGTTTTTCTTGTTCTTTTGTTTGTTTTTTAAGCCTATAAGCAGCACATGGTACGATTACTGGGGTGCCGATTATGGCACCTACAATTATAATCCTTACATTGGAGGTGTTGGAATTCCAGTTGCAAAACCACCGGTAACTACAGAGAAAAATGGATCACAGACTGTGAGCGTATCAGTCTCTCAAGGTAAGCAGTGAACTAAAGTTCTGTTCAGGCTCTCTTTTCTGTGATAACTGTATCTGACACGTTTGCATATCAAATTATGTTAACAATCTCTACGTGCATTAAGTGGAAAGAATTAAATTTTCTATATGTCACGGTTTTTCTATGGAAACTGAGAGAATATTATGTGAAGTTTATATTTAAAACAGCCTAACATAGCAGAAGATCTTATTTTCTAACGTTTTTGAACACACACTTATAGGCAGTTTTAAATCTTTCCTGTTTTTTCAGGAAATTTTGGAAGCTCTTTTCTAGTTGGCTGGTGTTTTGGATAGTTGGCTCTACCCTAAGGAATGAGGTGGCACACTTGTTTAGTTTGGAGGAGTACTGCTGAACTGGGGTGATGGATTTTTCCCTTGCCGCACTGGGGAAAAGCAGCTTTTTGGTTCTTGTTTGAGAGCTATTACCTTAGGAAAAACAGGCTTAAATGTATGCAGATTTAGTCATGTGTGATAGTAAAGTGACTGTGGAAAGGAATATGTGTGTGTGTCTCAGAAATTTAATGTTTTATTAATTATTTATTATATATGTTCAGTTCAGAGTGTAAGTTTTTACATTCTGCCCCCGTCATATATAAAAGTGAATCTTCCTGTTAGTGATACTGAGATTTTTTTCAGTTTAATATGTACTGTATATCTATATTGCTTGCACAGGAAGTTAAAGTAACTAATTTTATATGTCTTTGATCTAATTCAATTTTACCCTGTTTGTTGCTTTGTGTAGCTTTAGATGCACGTCTAGAAGTTGGACTTGAACAGCAGGCTGAGCTGATGCTGAAAATGATGTCCACCCTGGAGGCTGATTCCATTCTACAAGCATTAACAAACACATCTCCTACATGTAACTACATGTTGTCAAATCGTTCTCTTCGTATAATGACCGTGATGCTTTGAAATTTGTGCTAATTATTTCTGCAGTCACATAGCAGCTTAGAAAAAGTTGTATTTCACTAGAATTTTCTTGTTAGGCCAAGATTTAGAGATATTTCTTTATTCAGGTTTTTTAATTATGTGTATACGTCTCTTTAAGATGTTTTGTGAAACTGGTCAAATATACAGGGTTTCTTTTACAGTGCATTATACTACAGTGGAGGAATTGTTTTCATTTGCTGATCTAGGTGCAAGTGGAAGTTAAGTTTCCTATTTTTGTGAAACTTCATTCTTGCATTCATTGTGAAATTTTGACTGTTTGAAAGCTACTTTGCAGTTGACGGTTTCACCTATTCAGTGATGAAAGTGAAAATACTTGAATACAATTTTGGACTCAACTGTTCACTAAGCTTTATGTTATAAAATCACTCATGATGCCAATTTACTTTTGAACATATTTTCAGTGAGTTGCACTGCCCATCTTGTTAAGATGTGCTTCTTTGTAGCTCTCCTGGTACCTTAATACGCGTGCAATCAGTAGTTGAGTATCTGATGATGGAGTTAGGTTTAGTGTCATCCTCAGCCTTTATTCTCTGAAAGTTTATTATTGACTGCAATAGTTTTACCACAGTGCATGAAAGAGATGTTTCAATTGTTTGTCTTAGCATTGTGTTATCAGGACACACCTGTAATATGTGTTTAGCCAGAACTGTGAGAACATATTTGTGTGGGCTCGCTTTCCAAACAGTTTTTGTGAAGATGGAGATGTCTGATATTCAAGTATGCCTTTCACAGTATGGTAGTCAGTAGTCCCACTCAGCTGAACACTACATTGAAGATGTTCTCATAAATTATAAAATGTGTATTTCCCTTAAGTATATAAAATGCAAGGAAATAAATATGAAATTATTTTTAGTAACTTTTACAAAATAATTTATGGAGGGATGGTACTTTTTGTTTTGTTTTTTTTAGTAACCCAGTCTCCTAGCGGAACAGACGATTCATTGCTGAGAGGATTACATGCTGCTAACCAAAATGCCCAGCTGATTGTACAGTTGTCATCCATACCTATGCTGAGCGCGTGCTTCAACAAACTCTTTTCCATGCTACAGGTCCACCATGTTCAGGTATAGAATTAAGAACTTTGAAATGTTTCGATAGTATTTCTCTCTAAATTTGAAAGTGTTTTTCCTGTACTTCTTACTACTTAGGGTGCAAGTAACCTGTTATGTTATGTGCTTTATTGCTTATGGTGCTGTCATGGACAACAGTACCAATAAGGTAATAGACAAGCTGCTGAAAGCTTTTATCAAATAAGGCATTTCTTGTTACAGTGGAAAAAGTGGGTATGCATTTTCATATTTAAAAACAAGTTTGTAGGTTCACTGAGGGATAATTGTTATCTTAATAGTGAAGAGTGTCACTAAGTGTGCAGTCACCATCTGTGGAGGTTTTCAAAACCCAGCTGGATAAACCCAGCAACCCAGTCTGACATCTTCTTTGGCCCTTCTTTGAGCAGAAGATTGGATTGGATAACCTCCAGAGGTCCCTTCCAACCTGAATTATCCAATGATCCTAAACGTTAAAAGTGTGCTTTTTGAAAAGTCATTCGTTTAGCAACACATTTCTTGATACATACAAAGGAATGCTATGCGTGCTAAATACGAGCGATGAGGTGCCTGCCTGCCTATATTTTAATTGAGTGGCTGACTCCATCCCTCAATTGTTCTTTAAATACCTCATCCAAAATACAGTTTATGGTGTAAAGGACCTTGATGCTTCCCCAGAATATCTAGATAGTTATTTTCCTCAAGGGAGTTATTCAGAGTGAGCATCAGTGTCTCTCTGATAGTAAAGGAGGTTTCCCAGAACTTAAATTGGCCTTTTCAATAATTTCAGGTGACTGGTAAACATCACTTGACCGTATTGAGACATTCCAAAAGCTTACATGCAAACCAGTCTTCCAGGTGTAAGGTTATGATACGGACATTTCTGAGCAGTGTGTAAAGCTGCTTTTTTTTTTTTTTTAAACGTACATTTGAAGAAACTTCTAAAGAGAAACTTAACTGTATTTAGAAGAAATCAATTACAAAAATGTAGCAGAAGCATTTGCTAATTAAGCTGAATTGGCCTTGAATATTATCAGAATCTTCAAATCCAATACAGGGGAGAGTGTGTGTGTCTATGTTATCAGTGAAACACTAGTAGCTGAGAATATAGATAAGGCTTTTAAAATCAAAACAGATAACCTTCTATGCTCTGGAGTTCTGGAAAAACACTCAAGTTTGGTCTGATAGTAAGTTTTTTCCCTTTTTTTCAGCTTGAATCCCTTTTACAGTTATGGCTCACATTAAGCCTGAATTCCAGCTCCTCTGGAAGTAAAGATAGTGGCGCTGATATTTTCCTTTATAACGCTAACCGAATTCCTGTCATTTCCTTGAACCAAGGTAAAATACATTAAATAAGGGAAATTAATTTTCAGGAGGTGTGAGATAAGACTTTTTTTTTAAGTACTCAGTTTTTTCTAGTAAGCAAAAAGTATTACAAGAAGTATTCTTGATAAGATCAGTGTTGGGATAATTTTATGTTCTTATTAGAGAGCTCTTGGGCTCGTTATCTTCTTAGTATGAAAAATGTGTGGCTAGTATGTAACTGACAGATGATTCCTTGAATTTGCATAATCTCTTCAGAAATTATATATTAACATTTGTGATTCTTAACTCATCATTAGTCCCAAGGGGACTTTTAAAAATACACTTAGACTAAGCTGAAACTGTGCACCTGTATGCACTTCTCTGACACATTTCCTCTCCTTGTATACCATCCTGTGATCTCTTTGTTGTCAAAGGGATCAGAGGAGGGGAGAAGCCCTATTACTTTTTGGCATCAGACTACTAATCTAGTACAAAGACATGTGAAATTATTCTTTTTCTGTAATATGTTATACTGTATAGTTTAGAAAATCTGGGGTATCTTGTGATAGTCTAAAACATTAATGCCTGCTATAATGAACCTGTTATGCTGACTTCCGTGAGCGTATTTTGAAACTGGTTTCTTTACATCATTTTCTCTGAGATGTCAGGGTCAGGGCACTGTAGAAAGATCTGTGGGCTAGTTCCTGTGAAGTGTTGGTGAGGCTTCTTTTCCTTATTTCCTGGGACAATAATTGTCAAAACAAAGTAAATACAACAAACAATAATATTAATATTAATAGCAATAATAAATATAGCACCTTACAGTAAAAATAAGAAATTTATAGTAATACCTTGAAGATTAAAGCATGGAAAAATGTGTTTTTCTTGACAGCTTCAGTAACTAGCTTCCTGTCAGTTCTGGCATGGTATCCTAATACCTTACTCCGGACATGGTGCCTTGTGCTTCATAGCCTAACTCTCATGACAAATATGCAGCTTAATGGTAAGTTTGGGCTTTGTGTGTGGTTTTTTTATGTTACCTCTTTTAGTGACATACAAATGAGTGTTGATTCCCATCTGAAAGACTACCAGAACTTTACTTTTGTCATATAAGTACTTTGGTTGGTTCTCCTTAACTTCAGGCTTTCCAAGAGTGGGCTCCTTGAATTGCTTGTACCATGGGAATTGAAACCCTAGTGGTAAAAGAAAATGTCATTATAAGTAGGTTGGCAGCATCTTCTAAAAATGAATTTAGGACTGGCTAATGATTCTTGGGAATTAGCTTTGTACTATGGGAAGAGGTAGCAGAGAGGAAGGATTTGTGTTTTTCTGATATAGTAGGAATATTTTCATAAATACGCAGGCACTAGTCATTGCTTATGTTAAGCTATCTGAAAATAAGCCCTCAGAAGCTATTGAAAAATAAATCCAACCCTTTTGTTTCATTTCATTTCCCTATGCAGGCCAGATTATCTCACACTGTGTGTATTGTTCTGTAGCATGCTAGAAATAGTCTCGCTTTGTGAATGAGATTTTACCACAAGACTGGTAGAAATTAAAGGATGTAATTTTAAACAAAGAAATTAAGCTTCTAAATGGCTCACTGTCATAGAGCAACTTTTGTGAGGAATGCTTTGATGGGCTTGTCCTCAGGGCTAAAGAAATTATCAGATAGTAAGAACTTGGAGACTGGAATCTTTTAAAACCTGCTCTGACCAAGTCAAAACTCTTTTTTAAATTCTGTTTTCACTCCAAACATATGACTAAAGAAGAAGGAAACCCAGAGCTGCCTGAAGATCACACTTCTATGAAGTGGTTTGTCATCCTGTGATGACACAGCTATTCTCCAGTTTTCCTCAAAGCTGCTTATGAATCTTTTTTTCATGTATGCCATTTCAAATGGTTGTCTTTGGGATGCACTTTTTTCTTCAGGTTTTCACTTTCTGTCCCTTTTCTGTGATGTTATTTAGAGATCAGTCTCACAAAAATCTGCTGAAATTTTTGCTGTTAGGTGAGGCGGTAGAGCTGTGAATAAACTGATGGAAGAGACTTAATCGATATTCACAAACTGAGGCCTCCGTCTTATTCTTGGTATTTGAGAATAGAACATGACCTGATTTGTAGGATAGCAGTGCCTGCCGTTAACACCCATGTGTGTTTTCAACACTCCAATTTGTAACTGTAGACGAGCAATTTCCAAAAAGTACACTGTGTGAATCTCTTCCAAGTGGTACGACGCTCAGTGCTGTTCTCTGACACTGACAGACAGGCAGCTGCGTGTTTGTGGGAGTTTCTTAGGCAATTGCCTGAGATCAGTAAGTGATGATGTGAACGAAAAGCTGCTCCGAAGCAACCACTGTGACTCATTGCAGGCACACTTCAGCACATGAATGTGGTTGTGGAATTTTGTGCATATAGGATTGTGAGTTGGCGTTGAGTTGGAAAGGATTGGAGGTGCAACCTTGCTGGAGGGTAAAGCAGAGGGTTGAAGGTGTGTCTCCTTTTATGCATGTGTGTGAATTAACACAGATTTATATTCCTTAACCACCCTTTTTCCCATACTCACTGATAGAACCGGGGCCTAAGCAGGTTTAAGTGCCCATCGGGTAAGTTCTGTGCCAGGATTCCTCAGCAGCTAATAATTCAAGATAATATTCTACCTCGATGGCACTGAGTTGTCACATTTAAGAAGTGAAATAGTCTTTGTTCAGTTCTTGACAATTGAAGGTGGGATCCATCAGAACATTTCTCCAGTCAATAGTTTTGGTTTCCATGTGCTTTAGTTCAGAACTGGGACTAATAATAGTCTCTTAAGCTATTGCAGACAGTGTCTCACAGGAGTTCTCATCAGCTTATAATTTTCAAGACCATGCTTTCCAGGAGAGAGAGGTTGTTGGGTTTTTTAAATATGTACAGCCAATAGAGAGCGAACAATTTAAAGACAAGTTGTTCCTGAGACTGATGAAATGCAAGTGATGCATCAGCTTTCTTTGGAGTCAAGTTTCTCTTATATCCTCTTTAATTCTGTAATGTTTTAAGCTATGAAGTACAAATATTATCACTGTATTAACAGGTTATGGTTAGGGCTTTTTTTTTTTTGGTTGATTTTTTGTTTTGTTTTGAAACCACTAAGATGTCAACTACAGTTCATTGGGAATAAGTTAGATTAGTCTTGCTAGATGTGTGTGGTTATGAAATGAGTTTCTTTCCCCTTTTGATATCCAAAATACAACAAGCCCCCAAATGTGTTCATTTGCAGAATATCTTCACTGATGAAAAAATCACCACCAAAAATATTTTATTCAGGTGATTTCAGGGATAATAAACCTCTTCAGACACATTAAGCATTTTAAACAAGCAAGAAGGCACCTCTTCTTGACATAATCGTCATTAGATAATCATATTTGCTGTTTCAGAAACTGAAAAACCACTTAGAGGTGTAGCTGCTCATAGATGATTTGCTAACTCTTTTGCAGGTGGGCATTTTAGCACTGAGAAAATCCCTCTATTGCTATTGTTCTAAACCATTGGATCTCAAAGTTTTTGCAGAGAACCTCCTTCTTAAGGTTGCTTTATTTAGTTGAAATTCATTATTACCATTTGATACACATGTTCACATTCAGCCATTCTTTTTTCCTCCCAGTCTTTCATTTAAAAAGAAGAAAGTAAACGAAAAGAAAGGCAAAAAAAAGGGGGAGAGAGGGAGGAAGGGCAATGCTTTTTCATACTCTTCCATCCATTCTAGATAAGGGTCTTACCTTATTTGCATTTTACAAGTAGTCTCATTGAACCCACTTCTGAACTGTTGTACTCTGAAGACTACAGTTTGGTCACCATTTCTTCAAGAGTTCAACAAATTAGAAGATCTTGTCATGAGAAATTGGGTGGTTCTAGAGATCTCATCTTGAGCTTATTTTCAAAGCTTTAGTCATTTTTCCAAAACCGCAGATCTCTCCAGTAGTAATCAAGGCTTTTTAGTTGGTTTTTTTTCTCCCCCTGAGTATACAGCAGATTCTTTTTGGGAGCTGCCCTATATTGGGATTTTATGAACAACCACTGTCTAGGGCAGGTCAGTTCATGGTCAGGAGATGTTTTTTCATTATGCCATTATGTGCTGATAAATGTCTTCAGAATGAGAGCTCAGGCTGTGTAACTTTTGTGCTTCGGAAACTCTTATCTGAGGAGTGCAAGGTATTTTTTAGGGATAAACCCAATACCCCCATCATTTCTTTTCAGAACAATGACCTTAATTGGTTACAAGATCCAGGGACAGATCTTGCCAGGATGGTGTTTAAAATCAGTGTTTGATGGGTGACGTCTAGAACCATTTAATGCCGTGTAAAGGAAGGTGGGTAGAAGCAAATCTACAATGGTACCTGGCTAAGAAAAATTTCTCAGGGGTACAGTTGCTCTAAAGTAAATAGCTGTCATCTCAGATCCTTCTGATAGTGCGTTTACTCTTCTGTTCCTTTAGCAAGAACTATTCGTGGTCTCCTCACATGCCCTTTTGCTTCTCTGTTATTGTTGTCACCAGAAATACTGTTTGAGAGCAGTGTTTTAGCATAAACACTATCTGACAGAGCAGATAATGTAGATGCATCTTGAAATCTGAGTTAGAATGTCAAACAAAATGTGTCAGACTAAAAATATAATGTAGAAAAAAAGTGGGGTTTTATGTTGTAGTGATATTTTCAGCTTTTAAATAGAAAATGTAAAAATAAAATAACATAGGAAGCAATGAAGTTTTTCAATTATGGCATCAACCCTATCATGAAACAGTAGAAAAACTATGGAGCCTTCTAATGCTGGAAGGAAAAGAGTTAAGGATTAGCATGTGGACTTGGCTGCTGCTTGTCAAGAGGAGATGGCCTGGGACTGTCAATTCCAGGGAAGTTCTAACATAACATCTGCTTGTGTTAAGATGTAAAGTCTTCACAAATAACCAGATTTAATTAGTTACAGTACAAACCTAATGAATGAAGGTGTGAACATAGCAGGAAAAAGCTGGATTTTTTTAAAATAATGTTGCCTTGAAAGAAACACCAAGTGAACAAATTAGATTACTTGAAGCTGCACCCCAAATGTGCCCTGTTCAGAAAAATGCAATCAAACATCTTCTAAAAGCTGTAGTTTCAATGGAGAGTTTGTTTTGTTTCGTTTTCTTCTTTCTTAAAAAAGAACAACACTGAATAGCAGCGTTGCTTGTCAACACGGATCGTTGTAGACTTCACTGGTGATTCAAGGTCTCTGAAGAAAATTAAATACCTTCTCTCTGTGAAGGGACCATTCAGGAATGCAGGGAAGCATGAAAGTATGTCCTTTTTTCAAATAAAAATACAAACATTTTGAGTGCTTTGTACACTTATTTTAAAAATAATTTGGATATTCAGTACTTTTGGAAAAACTCGAGTGACATCTAGCTCAAAACTGAAGTCATACACAAAGTTTGAATGATACGGTTACATTGAGACAATGAAAAGTTAGAGAAAACTGAAAAACAGAATAACTGAATTCAAATTGACTTCTCATTTTGATTAGTTACGTCAGCTGCAGTTGAATGTAATTTTAGTGATAATGATTTATCTTAAATTTAAAAATAGTTTGTAAGTGGAACTTTTTTCAAAAAAAAACCCAGAAGGCAGTAAAGAAACAGGTCTAAGTATACGTGCAAGAGCTATGAGCTTGGCAAATTAGTGTTCTAAGTGACCTGAACATCATTTTTAACTTGTATCATCTTACACTCAGAAACACCCCCCCAAAAAAAACCCCTACCAACGGCCTACATACCTAGTTTTCTTACAGGGAAAATCAGTGTATTGTATGTTTTACTTCAGTACATATTCAGGGGTGCAGATGCAGCAAGGGAAAATAAGCTTGATCAGTTCACCCTGATTGGCATTTCCAAGGCTGGTGTTTCCTGCAATGGAAAACTTCTCTGTTGTTCTGAAATGTTCAGTTTTTCTTTCAGAGGACCTGTGCTGTTGTATGCTTACTTTTTACAGACTTGTCCCCGACTGAGACAAGACCTAGCCTTTTCATCTTGTGCACTATCAAGTGTAAACTAGAGCAGACTCATTGTCTGCAATACAATGGAACTGGAATCCTGTGGGATGTGTTCTTGCTTTTATTCAACTCCAGCTATTGCCAAACTGTCAGTTGTAGCCGTACAGGCTTGTTCCACTTCTAAAGTTGATAAATCAGTGCAAAACGGTTTGTATAGCTGTACAAGAAATGCTTTCATTCTTAAGTTTCTGTACTTGGCTTTCTGCATTCATCTAAAGTGAGAAATCTGGTTATAGTTTGAGAATCAAACAGTATTTGATAAGGAGAAAACTTATTGTGGATTGTCTTCCCATAAGGATTTCTTCTCATAGCAAGTGTCTTTCCAATGCTATTTTTATGTCATTGCTCTGAAAGCTTTTCAACTGAGATGGAAGCAGTTAGAGTTTCATTCTGTTTTGGATGGAGATGTTTCCCTCCTCGTTGGGATCTTTAGTTAACTTTCCTCAATTTAAAGGAAATTATTGTGAATGATGAAGAGTCTGATAAGGAGAATGACTAGTAAATAGTTCAAGATTTGGTTCTTTTAACAGCCTTCCTAATTAAGACTCTTATCTTGGGATGCAAAGGGATGCCAACCAAACTCTTATACCAGAGCATCATTTTCTCTTGATTTAATCTTTTATATATGAAGAGGTAGTCTGAAAGAGATCACATCTTCAGCTTGTAATAACCTGCAACTTCATTTAGATGGGTATAATATTGTAAGAATATGTATTTTTATTCAGTAGGCAGCTATGCTTTTTTCAAGTTGTGTTTTGAAATGATTCTGTATACCACTACTGAATGAGTAAGACTTCACATTTAATAAAGCTCTTTTGTTTGATCGTTGAAGGGTGTATTTAATTCTAATTCTGGTCCTCAAAGTTCTTATCGGTTAAGCTGCTGACAGTTTTAGTCAATGATGAGAAGTCTCCGAGTGTGCCAAGATCAAAAATACTGTGATTGTTTATGGGATAATAGAACGTGATCTCTGTCTGACAAATTAACGAATGCATTTGAGCCTTATTAAAGTGTTGGACTAGCAAAGAGAAACAAATGAAAATGTCTGTGTATATTGCTTCTACAAAATGAACCTCTGTTTTCGGGAATACTGCCTTAGCAAGCTAGGAACACCGATGGAACAGTTTCGGGGGGTTATATCTGTACAATGGAAAACTCTACACTCAAAATTGTAGTCCTGAGTAAGCAGCTTTTGTAGCTGATTTTGCTGAGAATATTTACACATCATGAAATAAGTATAAGGGATATGCAGTATTATAAATGTTTGATTTACACTTAATGCTTAAGATTAGAGATTGAATTTTGATGTCTTTATTTTTAAGCTGGTCCAAGCAGTGCCATTGGAGCTCAGGAAAGTACTGCCCAATTGTTGGTGTCAGATCCAAACCTCATTCATGTGTTAGTGAAATTTCTTTCCGGCACTAATCCTCATGGAACAAATCAGCACAGTCCACAGGTAACTGGCAATTAAAATAAGAAAAAAACTTCGTAGTAGGATTTCAATACACTTGACGTGAATATGTGTTATTCATAATGTATTAGATCCTTGGCTTGTTTCTTTTTTTTGATTATAGTCTTAGTTGGTTCTGATGAGCAACCATAGGGAAGTTTATGTTGGTGATACACTCTGAGTACTGATCATACATTTTTACAACTACTTGGAGACTTACCACAGGGAGAGAGTGCCATGCGATATGTCAGTGAATGTGTTCCATGTTAGGATTCCTTCGTTGCATGCATGAAAAAAGTAATAGAGTTCAGATAGTTTCCTGAAATCCTGTTAGATTGTGATAAAAATGCCAATGAAGATTAAGACTAAATATCTAATAATTCCAGAATTTAAAATTACGCTTTTATTTTCAGCCTGTTTCTGAATTCATGTGGTGTCTACCGTTTCTCCTAATTTCAACGGATTTTTTTTTTTTTTTGCTTTTTGCATTCTTTGAAACATCTGTGAATAGTGATTAAAAGAAAGCCCAAGTTAACTTAGTTGTATGTAATATTAGGAGACAGAAAACACCTGGTATTTCCAGTATTTTCCAGAAAATTTTCCAGAAAATACACGGTCTTTTCCAGAACTTAAGTGTGCACAGTGCCATTAATTTAGAGCACTTATATGAAAATGTGTAGTTTGTGCAAGAACATTGAGATTAGCACAGAAATGTATTCTGTGTGAAGTGTAGTTTGCATTGCTGAAAAGATGAAGTCTCAAGCTGCAAAATGAGTCTTAGGCGAAGGACTGAATTATATGCTTTTTACTCATGGTTGGTAATAGAAAAATGCATAATATAAATTGATATGGCATAGTTCTCCTGTGAAAACCCCGTAAATTTTTTCAGAAAGCAAGTGAAGCTACATAATACTTTTCTGTTCTTTGAAGATGTTCTTTATTAGATACTACTAAATGTTCTTGAAGACGTTTCATTTTATATAATACTTATTAAAATGCCTTTCCCTCTAGGTTGGGCCAACAGCAACGCAAGCTATGCAAGAATTTCTTACTCGATTACAAGTGCACCTTTCTTCAACTTGTCCTCAGATGTTCAGTGAATTTTTATTGAAATTAATACATATACTTTCAACAGAAAGGTAAATCTTAACTTTTTTTTTTTTTTCCTTTCATGTCCTCTTTGTCTTTAAAATCTGTATGAGTGTGAATCACAACTAAGGTGTGTATCTCCTGCCTTGTCGTATTGTCAAGTTAGGTATGCTGTTGCTACAGCACTGCTAGCAGGATCTCAGCTGCTTCTGGCACGTGGAAGAGTGCGACTGGAATCCATGCAGCCGTCTGTGTGTGAGGCACAGTGAACAGAAGCACTAAACAGTTGTTTGGATGGATTTTATCTAGAGCTAAGATATAGACCTTGTTAAAGTAACCCCTAAAATAAGAGCACTGTTGGTAAACTTACCGATTAAAAAGAGAAAAAAGTATTCCGAGAGGCCTGAATTAATGAAAGATGCTAGAAAGTATTTGTTAATTGTGAAAATAATACGGATGGCTTTTGTAACACGGTAGGATGAAATGTGAGATTGCATAATCCTTTTTATGCGATATGCGTATTTATTGCTTTGGGTTTTTTGGTTTTTTTTCCTCTTCTCCTCACCCAACAGTGGAAAAATCTCATCTGCCCCACTCTTCTTCTGGGGCCTGTTGATGTCTTGTCTTCCCAGTGTAGAGAAGTGCCTCTAGCCAGGGGAGAGATAAGAGCTTATGGCTTGTCTTTTACAGTCCTGCTGGGTCGATGTGCACAAGGCTGTTGTGTGTACAGCAGTACACCAGAAATGTGGCAGTTGTTTGGTCTGAAGTACATTAGTAATTATAATTTATTTCTGGTATTCATATTCTACTCATCCCTAGACAAAAAGCTCTGTGTAGTTAGGGATGAGCTTCCTCAGTTTCTGGCTCCCCAGGAGGTGGCACTTTGGTGTTACCTGTTCTTTAATCAGACCGAAAACAGTTTCAGCCTTCTCTAAGCGATTTTACCTTAGTAACTGAAATGGGATGGGTGGTGTTTACCAGGTTACATTGGCGATCAGTCACTTATACAGGAAATGCCATAACATGATAAAATCATTAATTCACAGTGAATCTTGGAACGTGTGTCTGCATGCCATGATTTATTTGAAATAAGTTAATGAGACCACTTAAAGGATAGGTTTTGAAATGTGTTAGATTTTTTTTTTTTTCCCAGACAAACCAAAGGTGGGACTGAAATGTCTTAAAATGGAAGCAAAGCACCAGAAAAGGGTTTAGATGGTTATTTCTGAAACCTCAGGTTATTATTGAAGTATAACATGTCTTATGAAAATATAAGATTGATCGTGAAGAAAAGCAGTATTTTACTGTTAGAACTAATTAAATGCCAAATATTTTCTTCAGGGCTATTTCTATAAGCTGTTTTGTTCTGTATTTAATTTTAAAAGTTGTAGTAAGATTAATCAATGTCAAAAGATACAGAGAAACATATCGAAAGTCAGTAACTAACACTTCAAGAATGAGCACAAGTTTTCTTTTAAATATACCGATTCAAAACGTTCATTTTGTAGTCCACTAGTATACCTGTAAAAGCAATTGGGAAAATAAACTTAACCCTAAAAGAGATCCTTCAAGCAATCAACCTTCAAGCACCAACCTGTGATAGTTTGAGTGCCTGCTCATGGCCTCATGAGCTATCATGAGATAGCTACACCTGACCATTCTTCTTTCTGCATAAGGGGAAAAAGAAAATAAAACTATGGGAAGAAAAAAACCCATTCTGATTTCCTGTTAGAAAACAAATACTCCTAATGATACTGAAGTATTAGATGACTTCTTCCCATGAAGTTTCCCAGCAAGCATACGAAACTTTTCACCTGCAACTGAACAGGACTGTATTCTAAGCCTATAGCTACAAAGTCAACTGAATGATTAAGAAAAAAGATGGATCCTAGACTTTTCCAAAGGAAACTTTAATCCTTTGTGGTATCAGGAAAGTGATAGCATGAGCAGGTTCTACAGTCTGTATAATGACCAGTATATTAAAAAATTATGAATGCTTGACACATGTGAAAGATCAGATTGTGTTTCAACATGCATTTCTGAAAATGGCTGGATTTTTATTTATTAAAAGTCTGGTGTGCTTTTTGGTTATTAAAAATCGCACAGAAACACCCCAAACAACTAAACCAGTTTAACTTGTTGATATTGGACAATCTTTTTTTTTTTTTTTCTTTCAGGGGTGCTTTCCAGACAGGCCAGGGACCCTTGGATGCACAAGTGAAACTCTTGGAATTTACCCTGGAACAGAATTTTGAAGTTGTATCCGTTAGCACTATTTCTGCAGTAATTGAATCTATAACCTTCCTTGTGCATCATTACATTACATGTTCGGACAAAGTGATGTCTCGCAGCGGCTCAGACAGTTCTGTGGGTGCTCGAGCGTGTTTTGGAGGGCTTTTTGCCAATATTATCCGTCCAGGGGATGCCAAAGCAGTTTGTGGAGAAATGACAAGGGATCAACTTATGTTTGATTTGTTAAAGCTGGTCAACATTTTAGTTCAACTGCCGCTTTCCAGTAACCGAGAATATAGTGCCCGTGTTCCAGTAGCAAGCAGTACTACCGACAGCGTGTCTGATGAAGAAAAGGTTTCAGGAGGCAAAGATGGCAATGGAAGCAACCCTAATACTCAAGGATCAACTGCATATGTGGCAGACTTGGTGTTAGCCAACCAACAAATTATGAGCCAGATTTTGTCAGCGCTTGGCCAGTGTAACAGCAGTGCTATGGCAATGATTATTGGTAGGTATTTTGTAAATCAAATGGAAGATCTTTTGGGGTGGGGAAACACTTCAAACTTCTACAAACTCATAAACTGGGTGTAGACATGTGTCACAGAAATGACAGGAAAAAAGAAACTGATAAGAAGTCAAAGGAGGGATATGTATGTGAAAAAAACTAACATGAGATGGGAGACCATAATTAAAACCAAACAGGAATGTATTTGGCGTTTGAATTTGCTGAATCTCGGAATGGTCAACGTTGAAAGGGACCTCTGGAGCTTGCCTAGTCCAACCTCCCTGCACAAAGCAGGATCAGCTCCAAGCCTGTCTCAGAGAGCAGGTTACTCAGTACCTTGTCCAGTTTAATTCCTCAAGGGTGGGAACTCAAGGATGGAAACTCTATGACCACCCCGGGCAACTTGTTACAATGTTCAATCATTCTTAAAGTAGAAAAGCTTTTTTCTTATGTTTAAATGCAATGTCCTGTATTTGAATCTGTGCCCATCGCATGCCTCTCTGCATGGATTAGGATTAGTCTTCAGTTTGTATTGTAGGCACGTTACCTCAGTTGTTCTCTATGCATTGCATTCTTTTCCTTTTTTTTGATCGTTTCTGAAAAAGACAAATTACAATTGTGGCCCTTACACAGAATACATAAACTTTTCTATTCCTCTGTTTTACCAGAAATCTCATTAACATCATGTTCTGGGAGTTCCAGTCATATATTTGTGGGTGGGATCTTCCTGCTACAAAGAAGTGAGGAAGCTGATGACACTTTGAACAGCAAAGTTGCTGTTTGTCAGACATACGCCTAAGGTGCATTTTCTCAGAGAGACTATGTGACTTGCTTGTGAGCTGTGATGATAGCATAGAGTTTATTTGCACAAATTAAACCGCTGGCTGAAATACCATGAATGTTTCTGCATGTGCAAAACTGGAAAAACATTTTGCGGGAGGATAGGCAAAGACCTTGCGCTCCATTATAGATGTAATAGTTGTCAAATTTTGTTCTCTTTATAGTGATTCTCTTGTTCCGAAGAAAGTGTCTCTGACCTTTTCTGTGCTAGTCTCTTTTAAGCAGATGTGAAACTGTTACCAGAAAACAGTATACTCTTTGGATGAGAGCACATGAATGTTAGACCAGTGGTTCGTTTTGGCATAAAAGCAATTGAGGAAAAAATAATAATCTCCAGTAGTCAAATTAAACAGCAGGCAGGATTTGCCAAGCCTGGATTGCGCTGTTAGAACCTTCCCGAAATTAATTCCAGAACGTCTCCTCCTTTACCCTGGTTAGTTGGGGTCATATTGCAAATAGGCTATGAACACTGAAAGTCGTTTGTTCTGGGAATGATGGTTTGTTCTCAGTATGCGTTTCTTTAGAGTGAAATTCAAATATTCTTCTCCTCAACTTGGATGTCTTTCTAAACCACCGATTTCTGTCCAGCAGTTGTTTTGCATTTTTATAAAGGCACTTTGGAAAGGTAGTGTTGTTTCAAAATGTTTTTCATTGAATTCAGAGTACTGGGGCAGCTGATGCCTTCAGCGGATCATTCCTCCCAAGGTCTTTTAATATAGATTATTGAAACTAATTTGTATGTGTATCGTGGGAAGATGTAATGCAGCTATTTGTGGTTTTAGTTCCTCCATGAAAAACTGTAGTAAACTCTCTCCAGGCAATTTCTATGAACAAAACGTTTCTCCAAGACTGCAGCCAAGTTTATATATGATCCAAAAATCAGTTATCAGCATATAGTAGTAAATGTGTAATAAGTAATGCAGCATGATGACTACCCAGGAAAGATAAAGAAGATGTCGGCATATGTGTACTGATAAGTAGTGGCTCTGGTGTCAAAATTTATGCTAATAATGTTAATTTACCACACCTGGTGAGCCAGCTGGTCCGGGACCAGGATGGCCTTGAGTAATTCACTTGTCATATGAAGTTAAAACATTTGTTGGATTTTCTTTCATGACCCTTTTTACTATTTATTTCATTAGGGTTTTATGCTTTGTCATTGACAGACTATGAAAATCATACAAGTAACGGTATTCCCCTCCTATCCTACCTTCTCCTCACCTCAAAGTCTTCTCAGCAAACCCACCTTACTTGGCTTCAGCTCCATCATTCATTCCATTTAACTTTTCTAGACCATGCGGAGGCTGTCTAAAGACTTTTCTTTCTCTCTCTGTCTCCAAGTATCCAGTGCTTATCAGTATTTTCTTTCTTGACAGCTTGAAGGTGATTAAAGTACTGCAGTTGTCAATTCTCTTGTCAAAATGTTTCTCTAAGGCATGTTCCAAAGATCACTTGAACACGTGATTTTTTAATTATTTGTTAGTATAACTCCAGTTTCTCTAAATGGAACGGGATTGTTTCATAGATTCCCACCACTCAAATCTAAAACCACTTTGAAAAGCTCTTCCAGATTGAGGTATATGCTTTGTAAGACAGTTGTATTTACAGAGGTAATCTTTTCCTTAGGTAGACTATTCTTTTGCTTTCCGTCCTGAATTTCAGCAATGTGTAGTCAATATTGCTGAATATGGATATTCAGTAAATCCTCGTGAGTAAATCCTGAGCTGTAACAATGAGGAGGAGAATTCCAGGAGAAGTATTTCTGACAGAAATATATATGTTGAATGTTTGGGGGTTTTTGGCTGGAGAAGTGCACTTCTATTATTATCTGGAAAAAAAAATCTTAAATACTTATTCGTTGCTTCTGACTAGGAAGGATTCCAATCCTTGTAGTTCTTACTGTGTTTCCCTCACTAATTACACTCATTTTTATGGTCTTATCTAAAATTATTTTTAAATTCCCTGACTTCCTGGGGAAATCTTCCTATTTATTCCGTAAAGAAGGTAGCACGTATCTGGGAACACTAATAGTAATTTATATGATCCTGAAGACTTTTGGCCCATTTGTAGTTTGTAAAATCCATATGAACATTTAACTGAGAAGAATATTAAATATCCTTGAGTTCTCCTCTTATGTGCTGTAATGGTTTGTTAGGTCTCAGTTTCTGACCTTTGAACTGTTCGTGTTTTCATTAAGGTGCAAGTGGCCTACATCTCACTAAACATGAAAACTTTCACGGTGGCTTAGATGCGATATCAGTTGGAGATGGGTTGTTCACTATCCTGACAACGCTTAGTAAAAAAGCAACAACAGTGCAAGTGATGCTTCAGCCAATTCTTACCTATATGGCCTGTGGGTACATGGGAAGACAGGTAAGTTCCCTTAGGTCTGCTGTGCTTCAAGGGAATTATAGGTTAGCTGACCGTTGCCTGTAATAAGCTCAGAAAACTGAACTAGTGCTACGTAAAAGAATTGTTAACATTTTTCCAACCTCACTGCACTTTGCTGATGAAGTTAGGAAGCCTCCCTCTGTTGCCCATGGTAGAGGAGGAAAGAGAGAGAGTTTCTGTAAGGACATTTTGATGTTCCCATAAATGTTCCTGGCTAAACGCTTCAAGGTGGATTGAATATTTTATTATGAGCAGGTGGAAAACACGTTTATTGTGTTCATATTAGTGGGTACTTTAAATGCTTAATGTGCTTATTTCCTTGAGCTGCTTATCCCGGTAGTTTGGTCTTTTACTTACCACAAAGACTTCTCCTACCTAAGGAGTGAACTAGATGGAACATGGTATTGTTATTTTGTGGCAGAGAGGTCAACTATGGTAGCATTTCTCTGTGGGATTTTTACCTACTAAAAGAGGCGACTGAGAGCAGTGATGCGTATTTCTGTCATATTAATTTTATATGAAACCATGTATTTCTTAACTGTTTTTCTTCTAGGGTTCTCTAGCCACTTGTCAGTTGTCTGAGCCACTGCTCTGGTTCATTTTACGAGTGCTGGATACAAGTGAGGCACTGAAGGCTTTCCATGATATGGGTAAGAATGTGTTTGCTTCAGCTGCATCAAGTAAAATGTTTATTGTAGGGTTTTTTTGGCACTTAAAGAAGGAATACAGATATATGTCTGGAGGAGCAGATTTACTAAATAGGCCTTTGCTTGCTTAGAATCTGTTGCATGCTTCTGAACAGGGTTGTTTTTCCCCCCCTGCCCACATTATACACAGGTGGTGTTCAGCTTATTTGTAACAACATGGTAACGAGCACAAGAGCTATTGTTAATACAGCAAGAAGTATGGTTTCGACTATTATGAAATTTCTTGATTCTGGTCCTACCAAAGCAACAGATAGCAGTTTGAAAGCTAGAGTGCTAGCTTCTGAGCCTGATAATGCAGAAGGAATTCACAATTTTGCGCCTTTGGGTAAGTAATGCTTCTTTCTCTTACATTAATATCCACTGGTCATTTGAATCTTTATCAAATTCTTAACGAAAAGTATTATGATAGTGTCAAATGTTGCAATACTATTAAATCTTCTAAACAGAGCAGTTGCTGGTGTTTCTCAATATTGGAGGAGGAGGTTAGCTGCTCCTCTGCAGGTCATAAGACCTTGTGGGTAGAGGGGAAAGAAGGAAAGGGAATGATCTGTATCTGATGTACTCATGCATCAAGGTGGGCCCTTTCCTCCTCCCCTAGGTCAGGGGATGCCCAGTTCCAGCCCACCATCTGCCATAGACATACTCAGACTCACTGAGGTGACTTAAGGCACATCAGGTTTGATGGAGCCGTTACAGAAGCATAGCAGCGTTGGGTGACACAGAATGAGCCCGAGCTGGGTCACACAGAGCAGAAGCAGCTTAGGGCTGATGTTACTGATGCTGCTCTCACACCTGCACCTAATTGCTCCGCACGAACATTTGTTAGAATTGCAGTGCTGTTTTGGTATCAATACAATGGCTGCCAGTTAATTTAAATGTATGTGGTTTTAGATGTAGATGTACTCTAATATCTTACAAAGGCTCGGTTTCTCTACTAATGTCTTAATGTTTTCTGTTGCTGCCTGCTAGCCTAGCGTAGCCCATGAATGTATTCAAGCAGAGTGTCTCACTGTCAAGAGGGGAGAAAGAAAGGAGTATTTTTAAAATTTCTGGAAAAATTTTTGGACAAGAGAGAAATCTGTTCAGTCGTGTCGTTCAAATCTAAGAGTGTAAAAAATAATGAAAAAAAAACCCCAAACCACATAGAGGTTTATTTGGCAGAATAGGAGCAGAATAGGAGGCCGTTAGAAATCTTCTACCTTGCTCTTCACAAATTCCTGAAAGGTAAATTTAAGAATCCTGTAAATATTGGTACTTGATTGCTTTAAGTAGTAAAAATCCTTAAGCATGTATGGTGGTGGGTTCTTGCGTGCCTTACCTCCCAACTTGCAAAGTGCTACAGTTCTTGATGTTCTGCTATGAGTGCGTCTATTTTAATATTTTACTTCCAGTCAGGAGTATGCTTTTGAAATTAACCTTCTGGTTGTCCTCACTTACTACACTCTGATTCTCATCATGTAATGTTCTCCGAGAGATACACTCAATTCATTTGGGATGAAAGTCTATCAAAATGTGTCCAGAAATTCATCTCCAGCTGCTCCTAGGCGTTTAGTCGCAGGGCCGGGCTACAGCTACTTAAAACAGCACAAATACCTGTAGTTAGAACAGCACAAATCTGGTCTTCCTGTGCCGTACTAGTTGCTAAAGAAAACATAGCCTAGATCTTCCTACTTCATTCTTAACTCATGCTGAGATAAGAAAAATAAGCAGCTGCTGTGATCAGTTTTTTTTGATTCTGGTGTCTTTTTTAGAAAAAGATTTTCAGGTGGAACAAACCTTTTTAAAGAAAAAGATTGCAGACTTTCGTTATCAAGTCATTTATGTTATCATTGTAATACTTAAACGTTTAAAGCCTTTATTATGTTAAATGTGAACTAACTGAGTTCAAGTTCTAAGCATACTGTTCAACTTGCACCTTTTTGGTTGGTTTGTTTTTGTAATGAACTCTCGATAAAAAGTTCAGGATTTTGGTAGCAAGTTTCCCCTAGCAAAATTTCAAGCATGTGCATATGCATGTGGATATGTAAACTGTCTATGTATAACAGTCCAAGAGTAAAAGAAAAATATCTCAGCAGTTACTATTACACTTGGGATGTTATCAATAAACCGAAACAGGTGAGATGGGAAAAAAAAAAGTTTCATAGTTCAGGTTGTAAATTAATCTGTTTTTTTTTTTTTTAATTAACATTTAATAATCAGTGTTACTGGTGCTGTTTTTGAAGGTTCGATCACCTCAAGCAGCCCCACTGCCCAGCCTGCTGAGGTCCTGTTGCAGGCTACTCCTCCCCATAGACGAGCTCGATCTGCCGCCTGGTCGTACATATTTTTACCCGAGGAAGCTTGGTGCGACCTCACCATTCACCTTCCCGCGGCCGTGCTGCTCAAGGAGATCCACATCCAACCTCACCTGGCCTCTCTGGCAAGTGAGTAGATTCACTGACATTGATGCTGGGTTAAAAATGTGAAGGGTAGGATTTAGAAATGATACGAAGAGTATAATAAGAACTAAAGCTGACAGGTTGTTTGAAGAATGTCTGTAAAATAAGTTGAAAAGCTTGCTAATTCTGCTTTCCTTGGGAATGGAAGGCCCTGCCTCTGCTTGATTTCTTCTAGCTTAGTACATGTCTTGTGGCGTTAACGTTAAATATGCCAAAAGACCTTGTCAGACTTCTCAAAACTTTCCCTAGTGAGAATGCAATATTGGTCAGGAGTCTTCAGGCAAAATGGGCTTGTACGGTAGCTGGAATAAAACATGAGATTTTCAGCTCCTATTGTTCTAGCCGTGCTAGGAAAACATGGCATTTATACTGCCAGGACTTTTGTTCACCTTAGGTCTTTGAAATAAACTGTATACACTGTGTATCAAAATGCTTATGCATTTTAACATGTACCATCGCGCAGGTCAAATACTCCAGCTGCAGTTCTGTAGTAGCATTTGCCTAAGATCATTTCAGTCATCTTGTTCTGTATCTTCAACGGGATACATGTTTAACACTTAAAATTCAAACCAGTACAGATTTTTAAATAGTATTGAACCTTCTTATCTTACTCTGTAGCTTGCCCTTCATCAGTATCTGTTGAAATAAGCGCAGATGGTGTCAATATGTTACCTTTGTCAACTCCTGTTATCACAAGCGGTCTCACCTATATAAAAATCCAGCTAGTAAAAGCTGAAGTTGCCTCAGCCGTCTGCCTTCGGCTCCATCGTCCTCGGGATGCCAGTACACTAGGACTCTCCCAGATCAAACTGTTAGGCCTCACGGCCTTCGGAAACACCTCGTCTGCAACCGTCAATAATCCGTTCCTTCCCTCTGAGGATCAGGTCTCTAAAACAAGGTAAGCTTCTAGTATCAATGGACAGAGGTATGTTTATGCCAGTTCATGGTCTGGAGTTTTTTTAATGATGTTTTCTGCTCCGACTCAGATCTTTCACTAGCAAACTGTATTCATGAGTACCTGTATTTGTAGTTGAATTTTGACATTTACAGAATGTTTCAGATATCTTAGAAAACTTGCCTTTTTTTTTTTTTTTTCTTTTTTTACAGAAGGCAAATAGAAGCAGTACTTCTCACTTTTTTGGTAGCATGCTTAATCTGCATATGTAAAAGGGGATGTTTCACCTCTGCAATGGTGAAAGAGTGCAAAACACAGAAAAGCATTTAGAGTTGCATTCTGTGTTTTTAATGGGTAGGTAGTTGTCAAAAAAGCTGAAGTAGCAACATATTTCTTATCTCTACTGAAGTCAGCGGAGTTACATAAGTGTTGGAGTAGGAATAGAAATAGGACAATGGGATGTTTTGTGGAAGTCGTATCTAATATTGCTGTTTGCAAATGTTTGAGAAATGGGACCTGAATGTTGTTATGATTCTGGCATATCAGCAAGAATTCTTTTCAAAAGCTTTTATTTGGTTAGGTGGCATCTGGAGTTTCTTACTTATTTTTAAAATAAAGATAAATAAACCCTTAAGGATTTTAAAAAGATAAGTGTTAAAGTTTTCCAACTTTGAATTTAATTTAATGGGTGAATCTTTGAGATTTCCTGGTTCTGAAATTTAGCTTACTAAATTGTACAAATTCATTAATTTGAAATATTTTATCTTTGAACCTTAATGTTTATAAATTTGAAAAGAGAGCATGGGAAAGTTTTTTTTAAAACTTTCTTCTTTTCCTGGGAAAAGTTTTGAGAGAGTAAGTAAATTTAGAGAACATCAATACTGTCCAGTGTATATTTGATCAAAGCTGTAGAACTGAAATCAGTCTTTGATCTTGAATAGCAATGAAGCAAATTTTTGTAGCCAAATTATACTGTTGCTGTATTTGTACTTCAGAAAAGGTTATCTTAAAGTCACACAAAAGTAATTAGCATCTAAAGAAAGAAGGTGAGTGTACAGTCTTCATATCTTGAAATGTTTTATTGTGGCTTTCCGCTTAGTTTTAGAAGTATCTCAATAAAGTAATGGCAGTAATATGATAGATACATTCAATAAACTTGGGTATGATTTTGTTTTAGACATAACAGAAAACTTTCTTAAAATAATAAATGTTTAGGAGTAAATTATTCCTGAAATAGAATTGTAAACTTCATTTAAGATCTATATGCAAGTTTGCCTTTTTTTGAACTGTGCGAGAGAACATTAGCTGTGAAAACAAGTTAACCTGTTAGTTTAGAACTTGTCAGTGAAATGGTGCCATTTATTTCACGTGCAACTTAGGTTGTCATCTCGTCCATAATGCTATTTTAAACAGCATTGTAGCATATTTTAATAAATATAGTCTAGTTAATGTGTTTCCAAATTGATTTGATTACAATAGGTATACTTTTCAAGATTTATTATTAAAAGGAATACTGAACGATAATGTTAAAGAGTACGAGAGACATGGGGCAAATACAGTGGCTAACACATTTTTAATTTCTGCATGTTTTCTGTGTCCTTTTTAAATCAGGTTCACTGTAGCTTGTCGTAGATGTGTATGACCCTAAAAGTTGGTAACGTCAGGGAAGCTGTGCAGGTGTATAATTTTGATGCCAATCACTATTGCAGAATCTTGACCTTAAATACAAATAAATTCCATGGTGCTTAAGTGAGGCAGCATGCTGTTTCATGTTTCACATTTATGTTTTGACCAGCTTCTTTTAATGTAAAAGAACCCAAAACAACCCTCAAACAAAAAAAACCCCAACGAAACAAAAAAACCCACCCAACAATAACAAAAACCAAACCAAAACAAAAAACCCCACACCCTCTCCCCTGCCTTGCCCCTATAGAAACACCTTCCCCTCCACCTTCCTCCCAATACATTGACCCTATTGGAAGAAATATGCATATGAATCAAGAAATCTTGAGAAACTTTAGTAATAAAACTTGCAGGCTCTTAACTCTTCCTGTCCACAAACCCCGCCTTTCTTACAACCTTGGATCAATGATTACAACAGCATTACTAATGTATATTACATTGTGGGCTTAAATTCAGTCATTTTAATTTACTTTTCTCAAATGATGTCTGATCATGTCGCAGCAGTTTTCTGCAGTACTTGTCCTAGAATCTAATACAGGTAGTTATGTTATAGAATAAAAATAAAATGGTAAGAAAATGATACATTAGCTCATTTTTACGTTTTCCTTTTCAGTATTGGATGGTTAAGATTATTACACCACTGCCTCACCCACATAAGTGATTTAGAAGGAATGATGGCTAGTGCTGCAGCACCCACTGCTAATCTGTTGCAGACATGTGCTGCTTTACTAATGTCACCTTACTGTGGCATGCATTCTCCAAATATTGAGGCTGTGCTTGTAAAAATTGGGCTTCAGTCCACCAGAATAGGCTTAAAATTGATTGACATTCTTCTAAGAAACTGCTCAGCATCAGGGAGCGATCCTGCAGGTGAGTGCAATGTTTTTCTTTTCAGTTGTTGCTTAAAAACACTGATTGTATAAATGTACAAATAGAGTATACTTGCGTGTTACTTTCCAATTGTGAATTTGGGTTACCAGAACTTGCCATTGTGCTTTGTTGTGCTTCTAAGTATCACTTCTTTGTATGTGGGTAGTTCTACAACAGTAAAGCAGTGCAACCAGGGTTGTTTTGATTTTTGTGTGGAATAGGGTAATTAGGTGAATGTGTTGAAGACAGGAGAGTAGGACTTGCAATGTATTGTAAGCGCATCTTACTATAGATGCTATGTCTATATGTTTCAAAATAAAGAACATCCATGAGTAGTGTTAGAGAAAACAAATGCAGCAATATTTGGGCAGTAATAGTCCGTGGGACAGTATAAATTCTGAATGGCACTAAGCATTGAAAATATTTACAGGTGGAGGTACATAATCCAGACACTTGAACAACTCATCTGTGTCGCGCAGTGAAATTTGGTAGTAGCTCTTCTGTCAGTGCACTGGGGATTTTTGTATTTATGATTCCATACTACTTTGCTGTTTTGTGGCTTTTAAATGAAAGAAAACTGAATTCGTATTTTTCCTGTTTTGAGGTTGCTAATACTGACAGAAGACGCTCTTTTCAAAATGGCTTCCATGACTTATTTTGCCATGAGTTAATGTTTCTGTGCAGCCTGCTGTCTTTTGCTGGAATGCTGTTAGATAAGAGAGCAGTTTCCTCCAGGGCAGGAGATGAACATGATGAGGATAAGATGAATAGGACATAATCTGAGGAAATCTTCAGCCTTAGTCCCATTGATGGAAATTGGTGTCACATAAGCTTCTGTTTTGAAATAAATGTTTGCTTCTGTGAAGTATATTGGAATGAGTCACGTCTTTTTGGAATACGTTGAAGAAAATCCTACTAGTTAAAACTTTAAGTCCTGTGTCTGATCAATGTTGCAATGATTTTTTCCTTTCATAGTAAGGCTGAAGGTTGCATTGAACATTCAAAATGCACAGTTTCGAGATAGTGGTGTGTGTAAGAATTGCATCCTTATGTTAATGGCAAAACTCAGTTCAATGTTAATATTGCAATTCTATAATAATTTCATTAGTACTTTTGAAAAATACATATGTAAGTACTTCTATTATTTCCCCTCCCCCTTTTTTTTTTTGAATGCGGCAAGATCTGAATAGCCCTTTACTGTTTGGAAGATTAAATGGTCTCTCTTCTGACTCCACAATAGACATTCTTTATCAGCTTGGAACAACTCAAGACCCTGGAACAAAAGATAGGTAATGTTACTGGGATTGTCATGTGGAAGTGTATACAAAAGTAATCTGCTAAATAGTGGCTTGATATTACTGCACAAAACCAGACTTTTTGAAATCTGATTGTGATGAGACAATGTGAAAGTGCAGAAATCGAAAGCTTTCCAGCTGTCTCTCCTAGCCCTTTACATCCTTTGCAGAGAATGCTGTCCCTCTTTTTTTGCTCTTACAAATGTGATGAAACTTCAGTTGTTAAACTGACTTCTCTCTCAAGTACTCAGAACTCAGATACCTGCTACGTTTTCTTTCTCTGTAGAAAGGAAGCTTACATTTGGCTGTCCAAGATGATCAGTGTTTTTAATTTTTTCCCTGTTGGTGATCTAAGTCTTGAGAAAACAAGAGTTTGAGCTCACTCTTGAACTTTGCTTCAAAGGAGGGGATAAATGTGTACATCAGATGACAAAAAGCAGGCAAGCTAATTTAGTTTTGAGTGTTTCTTTGACCCTTTATAATGTACTACATCATCTTGCCTTCCAGAATTCAAGCATTGCTGAAATGGGTCAGCGATTCCGCAAGAGTTGCAGCTATGAAAAAAAGTGGTCGAGTCAGCTACATTTGTCCAAATAGCTCAACAAGAGAGTATGGTCTTTTGATGCCATCTCCTTCCCATTTGCATTGCGTAGCAGCAATTTTGTGGCATAGTTATGAATTGCTTGTTGAATATGATTTACCAGCGTTGCTGGACAGAGAGCTCTTTGAGTAAGTAAAGCCAAGTTTTGCACCACGTATATTTTTATAACTGAATTATTTTGTTTGCTGAAATGATATGACTTAAGTGCACTCATTGTGAAATAGTAGTGGAAGTTGTCATCCCTCAATCATAGAGTGAATACTTAAAGATACTTAAACAGATAGTTTTATAGTTCTAAACACAAAACTTCACATATTCCAGGTATAATTATGTTTCAAAACAAAAATCTGAAACAAATCAGCAAATCCGGATTATGTACTTGCACATTTGTGAAAGGTAAACTGTTTCATATTTTTGTTTGTGTTTTTTTTAATGGAGCTATTCTTGTTGACATTGAGTGTTTGAAGTAATTTTCACAGTACCTATAAATCACGATCTTCATTAGCATCCTCTTATATAAGCATGATTTTATTACTCATGGTATCCAATATCTATAACTGATAGCTAAGAGCTGGAGCAGGGGATTGGTTTTTTTGAAGTCGCCACTTTTGTTCCAGCCAGTCTGATTTGAAAGAAACAAGGCACAAAATTTTGACTGAATCTTGAGCTATGAGTTTGCTGGATGTTGCTGGATTCTAAGGAAAAGTTCACCCTAAACACCAAATACATACTTTTAGCGATTCCAGATTGAAAATATATAAGCTAACATTCCTAATTTATGTTGCTTAACCATTTCTTCTGTTTAAACTAGCTTTGTTTCGTGTGTATTATAGAAATATAGCTATTAAATCCCTGTATCTAGTAAAGCGTCTTTCGTTTTACCATTGAATACGATTACAGTTAAGGAAAGGAACTTTGAAAAGACATAATTTTTTTGTTGCCCTTAGGAAACGTTCATATTTTTCTACTACCTTACTGTCTCCTTTGGGCACAGTCACACATTCAGACACTGGGAAGTGTGCAAGTTACAGTTATTGGTACAAGCATGTGGAGCTCTTGTATATGTGCAATGTGATGGTCTTTAGGTACATGACTACAAGGTAGACCTCTTCCAAAGTGATGCTGTCATATAAATAATTGTTAATTCAAACAGAGCTTATTCCTTTTGGGAATCAATTTAAGGATTTTAAATTGCAGGTCAGTTGGTCCTTTCAGCAATACGTTTTAGCAGAAATACATTTTCAGGATACATTTTGACAAGCTTAACATTTGAAAAGGAAGAACTCTGATAAAAATGGACTTCTGAAATGGATAGCCAATGTAGATTTATAGAAGTGGGTTTCACAGCTGAATTCCTGTCTTTTGGAGGAGAGCATGTAGTTTTCATCACAGGAGGAAATGAAGGAATACTAAAAACTGTTGTACCTAGTTATGTATGTTGCAGTACAGCCCTATTTCTCTACCTCCTGCCAGATAGAACTATAATTCATATCAGCCAGCATCTGGAGAAAATTATAAAATACATTTTTAATAAATATGGAAGAACTGTTGTCAGACTTATATGGGTAAATAATTTTTCAAATGAAAATAACTTCTCATGTGTATTCTTCGTCCTCTTTGATATTTTAACTTTTGAAATATTTTCATTGATTCTAGCTATAACTCCTAATTTCTCCTTCATGTGATATTTCACTTTTTTTCTTGGATATATTTTCCTGTCATGCCCATTTTCCATTTCAATATTTCTACTTTGGCCAATGGATACTAATTTATTCCGTAGTTATTTTTTAATATCTGGTTGGAAGAGAACCTCGTTTTTCATAGACCATGAACTTACCCAGAAAATTTTGGTGGAAGGATTGTGTGGAGAAGAGTTTAGGTGTACCTTTATTTTATGTGGACTTTGGGAAATTGTTACTATCCCCCAAAGTTATGGGTCGTTTTGTCACTGAGATAACTTTTCAATGCTTTGTTTTGGAGAGGTTTTTTTGTCAGCCGTTCACTAGATGGGTGGTAAAGCTAACTTTTAGTTAGAACCATGTTCTGTTCTAGACTCTTAGAGTCCCTTAGACTAAACATAGAATAACACTTCTATCCAGAAGAGGGAAAAACAATCCTTGTCTTCAAATGGGAATATGATATATGATGACATATCCGAAGTTATTTAAAAGCCCAGCATTGAAGTGGCACGAAGTGTTTGTGTGTGTTCACCTCTGTATGTAAAGGTTAAGATAATGTAACTTATGTGTGGTGTTAAAGTACTGTGAATGTAGTTCAGAAAACTGCGGTGTTTTTTTTTTTTAAATACTTCAGCTACTCTGAACAAGTCTGTATGAAGAAATGATGATTTCACTATTTTACAAATAGCACTTCTGAAATTTAAACTGAGTAATAGGAGCTAAATTAGCCTTTGCATTCATGTGCCTTGGATTAGCATTCAAGGAGATAGGATTTGGATGGAATTGAGTTCAAAGGTAGGTGGGATTTTAGTATCTCTGAGGAGTAATTCCCTTGTTAACTTGTGTCCTAAGTTCAGGTTGAGTAAGGATAGTGAGAGGAACATCATTCAACCAACAAGATTGTTGCTGCTTTCATTTTTTTGCAACACCTTTAGGTAGAACTCTAATAAAGCGAATTTTAAAAATTTTTGGGAACATGTTAAAATACTTTCAGTTCTTACAGAGGATGGAAAGACCTTTATGGAAATGATTGTGTGCGTGCGTGTATATGTAATCCTAGTAGCTGCAGCTTGGAAAGTTGAAAGCACAAAGAGGTTGCTGTTGGCTCAAAAATGCATAGATTGTGTGACAACTGTCAAAAGACTGAAATCCTGTCTTTCGTGTGCAGCATGCCAGAAAAGTCGGCTTATATCTATTTTAAATACAGTATGATGAGAGAAATTTAAACATACAGGTGAGGAACACCTTTTGGATAACGAATGTCCTGCTGATACTGTGATGCAAAAGAGGTTTTCAGGCTCAGCACGGTGTGTTTTATAACAGCTTCTACAATAGTTAATCGTAAATGTGGAAAGATGTTTTATGAACCAGTGAAGAAAAGGGAATATGAGTGGCAAACTATGTGTTGACAAGATTTTCTGTCTTCTACAGGTCACTGTTTAACTGGTCCATGTCTCTTCCCTGCAACATGGTTTTGAAGAAAGCTGTTGATAGTTTGCTTTGCTCGATGTGCCACATCCACCCAAATTATTTTTCCTTACTCATGGGATGGATGGGTATCACTCCTCCTCCAATGCAGTGTCAACACAGACTCTCCATGACTGATGACAGCAAAAAGCAGGACCTTAGTTCATCTTTAACAGATGACTCTAAAAACGCACAAGCCCCTCTTGCACTAACAGAGTCTCACCTGGCTACTCTTGCTGCCTCATCTCAGTCTCCTGAAGCTATCAAGCAATTATTGGACTCAGGTTTGCCTTCACTGCTTGTAAGAAGTCTTGCTAGTTTTTGCTTTAACCATACTTCTAGCTCTGACTGCACTGCACAATCAATGGATATCACCCAGGACAGGCTCAGGAGGCATCATGTTCCACAGCACTTTAATAAAATGCCTATCACGGCAGACCTGGTTGCTCCTGTTCTCAGGTTTTTGACAGAAGTTGGCAACAGCCACATGATGAAGGATTGGTTGGGTGGCTCTGAAGTCAATCCGTTGTGGACAGCACTTTTATTTCTGTTGTGCCATTCTGGTGCTACTTCTGGAGGACACAATGTGACGGCACAACAGACCAGTGCAAGATCTAGCTTGCTTTCTTCCACTGTAACAACAGGGTTGACCACTCAGCAGCGGACAGCAATTGAAAATGCAACAGTTGCTTTCTTCTTACAGTGCATCTCTTGCCATCCTAATAACCAGAGACTTATGGCACAGGTGAGAGAGAAAAAAAAAAAGTTTTTAACTTCTTTATTAAGAACTACCACTAACTTTCAAAACTTTTTTACTCTTTTTAGCTTTATTTAAAATAACTTTTTTGGTAAGCTGTCATTGACTGGAAAAGTTTTGTATTAAAATTGGTAGCTTGTTGGTCTGACTTTGAAAAGTATAAAAATGTTTTGGCATGGCCATCCAGTCCTGTGGATAGATTTGCATTCCTCTTGGTTTAGAGGAATAAACTTTAGACCAAAATCCAAAATACTGTATTTAATTGGATGGGTCTAAACTCTTCTGAAACGGAATTTGAAAATCAAGCTTCATACTTGTCTTTGGTATTAGTAACTTAAGGAGATTTCCTTATAAATTTGCTTCCAACCATGTAGCCTGCACAATCTATCACCAGGTTATTGCAGAATATGGCTTTGCATTTGGCATTCTAGCACAAATTCAGCTATTTTCCTCGCACTTGTTAACCTTGCAGACCTATTTGAAGAAAAGTATAATTAAGACCAGATTTTTCAACATTAAGAATGACAATGCCGTGGGAACAGGTAGACTTCAGTAAAAAATTCAGTACAGTTCTCTGTTAATGACTGATAGTAATACTGCATTATGCAGTGGGAAATTTTTGGTTTAGGGATTTGAAAGCTATTTGTCTAAATACTTTATCTTCAGGTTTTTATCTTTTTGAGTAGTCTATATATTTACATTTATTTTTGATGGTGTAGTTAGTGTTTGGAACTTTTTTGTAAAAAAACCTCATTTGCTGCTGATGTTTTCTTCAGTGGTGCTCTTTTCTGATCTGGTTTGAATGATAACTGGAAGGTAGATCTTAGGCACTGCCTATTATGGCTGCATAGAGCTATATCTTAGAGACCAAAATATAGGAATATTTTAAATCTGATGTCATTTTGCATTCCCAGGTTCTCTGTGAATTGTTCCAGTCCTCTCCTCAGCGTGGGAACCTCCCTACCTCTGGAAATATTTCAGGATTTATTAGGAGGCTTTTTTTGCAGCTGATGCTAGAGGATGAGAAAGTGACTTTGTTTCTTCAGTCCCCGTGTCCAGTAAGAATTTTTTATATCTATATAGTGAACATGGAATAAATTTAGCCTTAAAAAAAAACCAACTGGATATATTCAACTGTGAAACGTCAGACAACAGCTTTTCCTACTGCACCCATTGTGGAATTTTGGAAAGGAATGTGTTGGTGGATTGTATATCAGGATTTTAAAAGAAAATTTAAGGCACTGTTGTAAGACAAAGGCATCTTGTTGAAAAGATACTGCTTCTGAAAGAATTAACCACTGAAATTTATCTTATGGAAGACTTTTTAATAGTATCCTTATGCATTAGCAGCAAATATAGATACAAGTTCTAGTCCTTCCAGCAGTTCTTCATTATCAGTTTCGTTAAGGAACAGTTGTAGTTTTGATGCTTCAAAATTGGCAGGGATCCTTCAGAATTGGCCAAAACACCACAAATAAATTCTTGAGTGACAAATACTTGAATATAACTTATAAAGCAGATGTGCTTTTAGACTTGCACATGCTTCACCAGAATGCAGAATTACAATTAATGACTGAAGCGCTATGCTCTCAATTGAAGGCTGTGAATAAAGAAATATAGGAAAAACAGAAGTTATTAAAAGATCTGGTACTCCCATACAAGTAAATTATTTTCTGCTTTGGCTTCTGCTGATCTTACTACATCTTGGAAGTAAAGTACTACATGAGATACGTGACAGGGAAACTGCATCAGGTAGTATAAAAAAGAAAAGGAGGAACAAATACAATTTTAGCACAAACATTTAAATGCTTTCTTTTAAGCTGACTGAGGTTAATTGTTAAAATGGCTGTTGGTAATGTGAAGGTAACATCAATTTTCTAATAATTTGTTTTACATAGAACAGATTTTTACAGAATGTTACTAGATATGTAAAAGCAGGAAAAATATCTTGAAAAGAGTTGTCAGATAATTCATTTTCTTCTATTAAAAACACCAGGAAACAGTCTGTCTGTTCTTACTGAGATGATTCCTCCTCTAACATCCAAAGAGAAACCTTAAAAATAATGTGGATGTGCAACATATACTTCTAGTATATCAACATATACTTCTAGTATATCCAACAACATAACCTTTCAAAGATTAGATCCCCATTTTTATCTCTTAAGTTCTTACCAAAACTGTATTTTAGAAGCTAACTTCTCATTGTCACCAAGTATTAAATTTTTTTATGAAGTTACACAAGGATAAATTGGTCCTGTGTGTGAATATTAGTAAACAGGTCTCACAGGAGGAAGGGGATAAGTGGCACTTTCATTGCAGAAAAGTCTATAAAAAGTTACTGCAGGCAAAGAATGATACAAAATGCAAAGAGAGCTCAGGCTAAAATATGTTACGATAAAATATTTGAAATGTTTTAACTAGTAGTGACTTAGTTATCTGTCATAATAGCAAAAAGTAGATATTAACTCTAGAATAAACTTCATCTCCAGTCAGAGCAATAGAGAAATGACATCTTTCTCTACTCCAAGTATATTGTGATTTTCCTAATTTAATTTTGGAATTAAGTTTTAATTTCATAAATATTTGCAAGTCTCAGACACTCAATTTTTCTCTCATATACAGCTTTGTGAAATAATTGGGTTTTTTAAAACAAATATGATATCATACTGTTTCTGATCCTAAAAATATTCTAGGCTTTTGAAGTGATTTCTTTTGAGTGAAAAAACTAAACTTGTCCTAATTTGATGCATTCTTACTGTATACATCCAAAGTTGAAGGATACATCAGTTTTCTTTTTTTAGCACGCTAAAGATTTAGCTTCATTTTGCTGAGGTGAGTTTATAAGAACTTAGTGTTTTAACTTACTTCTGAATGATAAAGTCATGTTAAATGTTGATTTTTTTTTTTTTTAATTTCTTTTTCTTTTTTTCCTTTCAGCTGTACAAAGGTAGAATTAATGCGACTAGCCATGTAATTCAACATCCAATGTATGGAGCTGGACACAAATTTCGTACTCTTCACTTGCCTGTCTCAACAACTCTAGCAGAGGTTCTTGATCGTGTGTCAGGCAAGTTTACAGTAGTTCATGTTTTATTTTTTTAAGGATACAGTTTCAAAAAAACAAAAAAAACCCCAAAACCGAAAAACTCGCATGAACAAAGTATGCCTAACATACATATTTGCAGTGTTCATCAGTAATTGCCAAATATGAAACAGTGGTTTAAGTTGTAAGCTTTTGCATATGCCTTACATGTTGCATGTAAAATGCACTTTTATTGGTCAAATGCTGTTTTTTCCTGCTATAAAACTGAGGTGGGGAAGGTGGGATTTTTGGTTTGTTCTTTTTCTTGTTTGGTTGGGGTTTTTTTGGCTGGTTGGTTGTTTTGGGGTATTTTTTCGCTTTTTAGTATTAATGTGTTCTCAAATATCTGATGGGATATTTGCAAGACTGTACAAATGATACTGCAAATATCGGTCTTTAAAATGCCCTGTCTTTCATCCAGTCACTTAAATATTCCCAAATTATGTCAGTTAAATATCCTGCAACTTACAAGTTTGTCTCAAGATGGAGATGAAATCATGTTGCTATGAAAAGGACAATAATCAAAGCTCCATCTAATGCCTGTGGATATACGTTTGACTATTATGTAAACATTTGAGTTGCTTACTAAATGGAGATTAAAAACCATAATTTACTTTTAGAGATTAATTTTTAAATTCTATACAATGAGAGGATAATGTTGAGTAATGAATTTGTTTATTTTTTAAAGTTCAGTACTTTCAGTTATACTACTTGAATATACATGAGGAGATGAACCCCTCTGTAGGGAACTCTGTTGACCAGGCCTCCACAGATCGTTCTCAGCCTGGAGAAGAGAAGGCTCCAGGGACACCTTAGAGCAGCTTTCCAGTACCTAAAGGGGCCAACAAGAAAGCTGGGAGGGACTTTTTACAAGGGCATGGAGTCATAGGACAAGGGGCAACAGCTTTAAACTGGAAGGGGGAAGACTTAGATGAGATATTGGGAAGAAATTCTTCCTGGTGAGGGTGGTGAGGCCGTGGCACAGGTTGCCCAGAGAAGCTCTGTGGCTGCCCCATCCTTGGCAGTGTTCGAGACCAGGTTGGATGAGGCTTTGAGCAGCCTGGTCTGGTGGAAGGTGTCCCTGCCCATGGCAGGGGGGTTGGAACTGGATGGGCTTTAAGGTCCCTTCCAACCAAACCATTCTATGATTCTGTGATTCTATGAATATGAATTTTGCTGCCTGAATCGTAAATGTCTTAATCTTAAAATGAATCCTAGCTTGAACTTCAGTGTTTATTTAATACTTTAGAAAATAGAACTATATGTTAAAGATTAGGGTTAGTTATTTTTTTATTTTAAATGTAGTTAAAGAGTAGAATTCATACTATATGCGTCATGGCCATACCAGAGCTCTCTAGGTAAAAACAGGTAAGATGCAAGTTTATACTCCTCAGGTAAGAAACAGAGGAAAATTTGTTAGGTCATGTTACAGCAAAAAACAGTTTTAAGCATGCCTAATTTAAAAAAAAAAAAAAAAGAAAAAAACCCGGCACTTCCTCTTTAATCTTAAGATGTGGTTCTCAGTACTAGCAAAGAGAAGTCAAAGATCATCACAGCAATTATGATTTTGCTGTATTGCAGATGTGGACTGAAGTGTGTGCACTTAACTGCACACTCATCTGGCTAAGTATGGACTGATATGTAGGTATATTTATATGTGTAATTTTTTTGAACTTAATGTAGATCAACTTTTAATTTCTGAAGCAGATCTTCATGGATTCAGAGAAACTACTGCTTTTTTATATCTGCTGAAAATCTTTGCATTGAAATTATTAACAAATTCATTAAGGCAACGTATATGTTACCTAACTAGGTGATAGAAGTACTATAATGGTATTTGGCAGAATACTAGACAGAACAAGATGTGCTTTGGAATTTTAATTAAAAAATAATGACTCCTAGAAAAATACTTGAAGCTTGTTTACCAGGGAATGGTTTACTATTTCTGATAGAATTCTGTATTCACTTACTGTCCAGACACAGTCACGTGTGGAATGTGACCAAGATCTTTAGATCCTTTGTGCAATTTATGGTCAGAATTACTGTAATGGGTGGGGTAGTCACTGCAAATGAGGTAGGGATCAGTTGTTGAGCAGTGACATAAACTGTACTGACTAGCTGCCTTGGTGGGGTATTGCAGTCAGCTTGATAGCCAGTGCTAATAGGGACCGCGGAGGGGAAAGTGATGATGTTGTATACTGTAATGTCTGTAATTGAAGCAGATTCAATGCTGACTTTGTAGAGCACCGCAACTTTGGGTTTTGGTAGAGAATTTTATTCCTCAGATTAACTCTCATGTTAAATTGGAAGAATTCTGGAAAAATTCAGGTTCTCTTATGTTTCCATCCCTCATCCAGTGCGATTTCTTTGTATTAAAAGCTTTGTGACACTTTTGTATCTTTCCATGAAGTCCATGGTTAAGATATAGTAAAGGAGACTCAAATATATGAGGAGTAAACTGTGTGTTTGGGGTGAGAGGGAGAGAGAAGGGAAGGACTGGGGGTGGAAGGGAGGAAAAGTCTGCCACCACTGCAACACTAGGAGGTCGTGAAGATCCTGTGTCAGAGTCTGTCCCTTGGGTTAACTTCTTTTTCTTTAACTCCACTGTTAATGTCTCAAATTGATTGTGTCATACTTTCTGCGAAAATAAATCACAGTAAACATGTTCATTTCAAACTTTATTTCCCAACCTTTAAAAAAGAAAACAGGGGAGTGGGGTCTAAAATCATTGCTGAATCTGCTGCTCACATCCCTTCACCATAGGAAGAAAATGTGCAGTATCACTGCAGATAGGATTGTCTAGGATGAGTGCCAGTTGTTTTGGTTTTCATTGACCTTGGTCTTAAGTCACTGGTCTTGGCTGGTCAAAAAAATTGAACAACGAATCTGAGCATCACCTGAGTAGTAAAAATACCATTGCTTAAGCTTCCGTAATAATTTAATGACCTTTAAATTCTCCACCAATAAATGAGCATTCAGTCCATAGGACCAAACTAGAACAACTCTGAAGTTTAGTAGTGGTGGTAGTAATAATAATAATGAGAATTTTTTAAAAAGCCAACACCCTATCTCATTTATGTGTATGTATACATATATATATAGTGTGTGTGTAAATGTTGGGTCCTGAGTTGCCGCAGTTTCACACTCTGTATCTTCTTTTCGTCTGCACTCCTGTCTAACATAGACATAACCAATGTCTTTCGGCACAAATTGTAATTTATTTCCAAGCAGTCAAACCATACCCCTTTCAGCACCTCACCCACTGGTGATACACAGTTAAAGGTAGCTGGATGGTACTACTAGGTCTGTGGTTATAGCTTAAGGCTGCTATGGCTGTGTGGAAATAAGTTACTACTCAGAAGAAATTAGTGAATTATTTGGCCATTTTGGTGGTAGTGTTGTACCTTACAAGGTGTGAAATGATCCATTGTCATCAATCAGCGATTGGTGCTTGCTAATATTTGTGATCCGCACTAATGATGGAACCAAAATGGTTGAACTGCGGTAATCTAATGTTCACTTAAGCAAACAGCACAAGTTTTGGGTGTGTAAGGTACTTTAGGCATCTTCCAGTTTCAAAGGAACAGTCATACTTGCCAGTTCTGAAATTGGGTCAGTATGTAACACTAGATGCCTAGACCTAAATAGAACAAGTCTGCAGATGTCCTTAAAAAAACTTTTGTTTTTTTTTGTGTTTTGTTGGGATTTTTTGATGTTTTGTATTGATTTGTATTTTCTTGGGTTTGGGTGGGGGTTTGTTGCTTAATCTCATTTTTGATTGATTGTGGTGGTGTTTTAACATGAGTATACTGGACTCATCAGGTCCTGTATAGGTCCTGCTTTAAACTGTTACAGTTTTAAATTGTCAGAGGACAGGTTTTTGGGGGAAGAGAGGACCAGAATTATCATAATAACTTAATTCATAGATATTTATAAGACTATTGCTGCCTGGGATGGAACTCTGAGCCACTGAAATACTTGAGAATAACCTTGTTAACAGCCTAGAAACTGTAATAAAATCAACTTCATATCTTGAAATGCCTTTCTCTCCTCTCTTTTTTTTGTTGTTGTTCCTCCCTGCATAGATACACCTAGTATTACAGCTAAGCTAATTAATGAACAAAAGGAAGATAAAGAAAAAAAGAACTATGAAGAAAAAGAAAAAGTTAAAGCAGAAAATGGATTTCAGGACAATTATAGCGTTGTTGTTGCATCTGGTATGTCTTTTTCTTCCACCTTCTGAAAAATGAATCTTTCTAATGTTAAAAGTGTGTGTATTGGGGGAAATATCTGCCAACAATCTTTTTATTACTAATGATGGTTAGAAAAATTGTAGTGCCGGTTAATCTAACTGGCTATTAGGCAGCAAAGATTGGTTCCTGGTAGAACTGCTGCCTATAGTGGATTATGTACTTTGACAAATTTGTACCTAGATGTATGTGTCAGTGATATGTTGTAGGCGCTGTTGCTCATGCCTTTTACGGGATTTTGTAGAGACACACCTGGAGCTTGAATTACATGGCAATATGTTAGTATTTGTGTACTATTACGGTGGTATGGATGTTACTACTTCTACCTTTTTGCAGTGGCTGGTGCTTTAATCTCTTTAATCACCTCTACTCCCACAATATGCCTTGGAGATAAAAGGATCCATATACTTTGCATAACAGCTGGTGGTACTCTGCTAAAAACCGTCAGATGGTGATGTGAGGGTAAAACCATGTTATTCCACTTGGAAGCCACAAATAACAGGATTTTCTTCCAAAGCATTCACCTTATAAAAAGTAATGTGAAGATCCTTCTGAAGTCATTAATATAAACCCTTTTCCTCCAAAACTACTATGGAGGTAATAGATTGTACGTATTCATTTTGCAGTGATGCAAGAAGATTACAGTTCAGATGATGGCTGTAGATATCATTAGTCTTTCGGTTTGAAGTTCTGGTACGTGTGAGAGGGAGATTAATGAACTTCAGACTGCTCTTTTCCTATCTAACTTTCTGCCTTCATTGGGGTACCTCAATTTCATTTACACTTCATGAAGCATGAAGAAGAGATGCTGATTTCCTTTGACTTTTGGCACCAATATTTCTTAAGCTTTTTATTTCAGATTTTTAGATAGACATATAACTCTATGTGTTGAATAGGGCAGTGGTTTCATGGATCTTGGAATATATTTAAAGCAACACAGCTGATGTTAATTACAGCATCTTTATCTGGAAAGATATTTACAGTAGGTGCCACTTTAACAGGGTAAACATGTTTTGGTAATATCTAA